ATCTGTTGTGCTCTTTAATGCAATTGAAGACATTGATATTGCTAATTTTGATAGCCTTGTTCTACTAGCGTTCATAGGAAATTTTCTCTACCTATTCTTCACCAGTACCCTTCTTGGAGTAGTTGTAAGTCTCTTTGTTTTTGACAACCTCCACTGATCTTTCCTTTTCTTTTCCATTTACTACCTTCCTTTCTGATGATTCATTTGACCATGCCTTTTTGGACTAATTACTGGTACTCACTTTGGCAGGCTGGGTTGCTTAGTGCCTATATTATTAAGAAACTATGTTTTGCCAGGTCTGCTCCTATGTGATTTAGTCATGCCACAGAGTAGTTTGTTTTTTATGTAGATATGAAAATCATTGTGGCAAGCTTGTGATGTTATGCAGACACTCAACTGACAGAGAAGTTGCTATCATGATACTCATGGCGTACCTTTCATATATGCTGTCGATGGTGAGTGCCTACAAACTATAAGAACTTCAAAATAAGCAACTCTCTTAAGTCAAATTATTTCGGACATTTATCAATTACTTCCTCCGTCCCAAAATATAAGCATTTTTAGTGCTAAGTCAAATATTTTTAACTTTGACTATTAATAGCAAAAAAAAAAGATCAATCCCGTAAAATTGATGTTACTAGATTTATCATTAAACAAGCTATCATAATATACAACTCTCTTTATTTAAAACATTTTACTTTTATATAGATATTTTTGGTCAAAGTAGCATATCAAAGACTGTGTCGAAATCCAAAAATGCTTATATTTTGCGATGGAGGGAGTATCATGTTATATCCATGTAATACTAAGTGTAAATTTGTTGATGTTTTACTCTTGTACTTCTTTTGGCAGTCTGTAATTTCTTTAATCTCACTTTGCACCAGCATCTTCCAAAGTACATGATATTGATATTTTTTTTGACCCTTTCATATATATATATTTCAGCTGCTAGATCTGAGTGGCATTCTCACTGTGTTCTTCTCTGGAATAGTAATGTCACATTACACTTGGCATAATGTGACAGAAAGCTCTAGGATTACTACCAAGTATGTACTGTCTGATAATCAGTTTTACTGGCAACCCTTGTGGTTTCTTTTAGATGAAAATATTTATGTATATGGCTTCCTGATATTCTTCATTCATTTTACAGGCACACTTTTGCTACTTTATCTTTCATTGCTGAAATTTTTCTATTTCTCTATGTTGGGATGGATGCACTGGACATTGAAAAATGGAAATTAGCTAGCAGCAGGTGTGTTTTTGTCCACGACCAATTCATAAAGTTTCTTCTGATATTTTCATTATCCGATGGTTTGGTTTGCATCCACTGGTGTAGCGTGTTATTCATTGGTGGGATCCATGGCCAGAATAAAAACAAATGATCGTGTTCTTTCATCCATTCTCTCCTGTCTGCCAAAGGACCGCACCTGCTCCTTTCATATGTTGGAAACCACGAGCAAGTATCTTTTTTTCGGTTTGGTTCAAACAAAAGAACTAGTTTTGCTTTTTTGTCTGCCTCCTGGTTCAAGTCCCCGGTGGTAATGCCTTGAACAATTGCCTCTATGGTTCAATTTTTCCATCACTAGGGATGCTGTAATTTGCTTAGCTCCTTCTTAGACTGATGGTCCTGTCAGCTGACAAAAGTATATTCTATGTGAGGTGATATGTTGTTGATGAGAGAAAGTCGGAACCCTTCCTTTTCAGTTTGGAGAAGTCTGCAAAGAACATCTTCAAGCTTCTATGATTCTATTAATTGTTGTTTGGCATGGTGCACACTGTTAAACACAGGCTCACACAACAGCAACTACCTTGCATGTCTTGCCCATGTTTTTTTTTTCTGAACATAATAACTAATTTATATCAGTTTTCCTTATGATGCAGTCCTAAAAAACCAATTGCTTTAAGTGCAACTATATTGGGCTTGGTTATGGTTGGAAGAGCAGCATTTGTATTCCCTTTGTCTTTCTTATCCAATCTAAGTAAAAAAGAGACACGCCCAAAGATCTCCTTCAAGCAGCAAGTTAGTATTGACCTTTTTTATTCTTATGTAGTTGTATCACTTTCTTTCCCTCCTGAAAACAGAGGGAGCTAAGCAGCTAACTGTGATGGGTTTATTCTCTAGGTAATCATATGGTGGGCAGGTCTCATGAGAGGAGCAGTATCAATAGCACTTGCCTATCACAAGGTGATGTTTGATGGTTAACCTGCCTCTCTGAAAGTGATTTGGAACCACTACCACATTAATTTACTAAAACCTAGTCTGATATGTAACGTTCTCGTAAAACTTTGCAGTTCACCGCATCTGGTCATACTGAATTGCGAATCAATGCTATCATGATCACCAGCACAGTCATTGTTGTTCTGTTCAGCACAATGGTAAGGATGTAATGCTTTCTCTCTGTTATTATCTTGGATGGTTATTTTCTGCTCAGCAGGTGTATTTCTAGCAATCTGTTGATAGATTTGTGCACTTTTGTTTGTGTGTGCTATATTTGGTTCAGCCAAGTCAATAGGGGACATGTGATTATATGAGCGTAAACAAATCTAATGCAGTATTTATCATTTCTTTATATGACGCTTACAGATTAAGTGAAATACCCATGAACAATGCAGCCATACGGGGATTATCAATGTATATGATCCTGTTTAATCTAGAAAAGAAGTGATATCATACATTTCCGTTTCCATCGTGTACAAAGAAAGTAGTCCAATTATTATCACTTTGCTAATGTATACACCATCAATATTTGTTTCAGGTTTTTGGTTTTTTTACCAAGCCTCTCCTCAATCTCCTCATCCCACCAAGGCCTGACATAGCAGCTGATCTCTCAAGCCAGTCAATCATAGACCCACTTCTTGGAAGCCTGCTGGGGTCTGACTTCGATGTAGGCCAGCCCTCCCCTCAGAACAACCTTCAGCTTCTTCTCACCATTCAGACTCGCTCCGTTCATCGCGTGTGGCGCAAGTTTGATGATAGATTCATGCGCCCGATGTTCGGGGGCCGAGGCTTCGTTCCTTTCGTGCCTGGTTCGCCAGTGGAGCGGAGCATCCATGGATCTCAACTGGGCACTGTGACTGAGGCTGAACATAGCTGAGTTTGAGGTTCAGAAGGTGCAAGCATTTCTGTAAATTTTCAGAGACCACTCAATTTTGTTCCAGGATACATTTGTGTACTGTTGTCATATCTTGTGCAGATAGTTTGTGTAGAACGACGTATTTAAGCTGGTATAGGTTCATATTGGAAGCCATTATTCCAAGTGTATAATTCATCTGTAAATTTACATGTTGTTTGTAGAGGATAAACAAATGCATTGTATTGGATTTGTAGAAAGTACTCCCTCTTTGTTAAATTTAAATGAAGGTGCCACAGTTTTCATAAGGAATGGTAAAGTTTGTTCTTGTAGTTTCAACCGTTGATGCAATTCCATTTTATGCAAGTTTCATGTGTACTCGTGCTTTATAATTTTGTATGGTTTGTTATTCCTGCGTTTGGAAGAAATAGCTGGACTTAGACATGCCAAATGCCAAACACGTTTGTTCTAAATGGTTGTAAATTGTTTTTGTATGATTTGATTAATGAAGCCAATAATGTTATGGCATGGCCAGGCCAGTTCTCTTTAGGAGAGGAAGGGAAGTTAGGTATATTTAAGCTAGATTACAAGTATGTCTATACTAGTGCCAAGTTTGTCTTTGGTCCAATATAATGTGTTAGTACCATAATATATGTTCATTTTTTTTAGAGAAGGGTATTTTTTTTACCCGGCCTCTATATCCAACCGGATATATACGGCCATTGAAATAGGGAACTTAGCCCCGCAAACAACCCAATCTGAAATTCGCTCCATAGGAGATTTGAACTCAGGACCTTGGGGTACTACTCAGGTCACTGTAACCACTAGACTATATGCCCTTTCGTTAATATATGGTTCATGGATTCTACCAAAACAATTTGCACCAAGTTTCAAGCATTACCCATACATACTTTCCTCTCTAGTTCTATTCAAGTGCTTTGGGACCCATACAACTTGTAGGATAAGAATACATTATCATTTATTTTTAGTACAGAACTCGGCACTCTCTTCTATTTCCTGTTCTCTTCCTGTAGTGGTGGATTCAATGTCGGTGTCATAATAAGGTGATTATGCTTAAATTTATAGTGTTATTTTATCGTTTAAGTAGTTCAGTACTAAGTTTTGTCAAAAATTGTCGAGGTTGACTGACACTGATTGTACCAGTATAACAAGCAACACATACATCAAGAATGTAACATGGTACATTCTGAAGAGATTTCTAGATCCTTTAAAGTATCACATAGATGCACTATAGTTACATGAATACGTTATAATGTTCCAATACAGTGAATAATATATAGTCGAGGCTTCATTCACTACTTTAAATATTAACAAAACATATAATGCCCAATTCACTACAGTATATCGACAAGCTTGGTCGATGGCTATATAGTATCATTAGGTTTTGAGTTCACTAATGATTACATGGTACATTTCAGTTAGAAATTTTTCCTCCAGTTGATATGAGATAGCCACACTATTTTTTCCCCCTTGGATGAATATGCAGCACTCTATCACAAGTGATATACCCAGGATTTTAGATATGGATGACCTATCTTACGTAACTTTTTTAAACACAGATAAATATAATAAGATAATATACAATAGGCCACATAATTTAAAGTGTACCATAATATATTAATAAAGAGTTTATATCTCTTAATTTTCTCACTATAAAAGTTTATATTAATAAAGATTTTATATCTCTTATTTTTCTCACTTTAAATTTTTTTTTCCTTTTATTAACATGTACTAGTCCTGTGTTAGATTATTTTTATTTTATGGTCCATAATTCAACCGGACCACCCTCTAGATCCGCCACTGCTTACCACTATATGTAAGAAAAAGAACCCAAGTGTATAGAAGTACACGTCTAACCGGTGTAGCCACAGGCGACCCGCGCCACACAAGATCCACCCCCACGCCACTCGAGATCACTCCCCCCCTCGAAACTCGAGACCGTTACGTCCCCCCCGCCTCCGCCTCCGCCTTCGGACGCAAACACAAACCACCACCACCTCCCATTCCTCCGCTTCCACCTCCACCTCTCTCTCTCTCTCCCTCTCGCGACGAATCGAGGAGGGGGATCGATCGATCGATCACCCGCGACGCCGTGTTCCCATGGATCGCTTGTCGCGGCCGGCGAGCCCCGCGGGCGGGTACGCTCGCCGGGGCAGCGGCGGCGGGTACGGGCACCACTACTACGGGGGCGGTGGCGGTGGATCGGCGCAGACGTCGCCGCCGGGTGGATCTCCGACGGCGTCGCCCGTGCACCGCCACGCGCGGACGGGGTCGCTGGGTGGCGCGGGGGCGGCGTCCACCGTGGGGCGACGTGGCCGCGCGCATAATACCGCGGCGAGGGCCGCGGCGCAGCGGCTCGCGCGGGTCATGGCGTCCACCGACGGCGCGGGGGTAGGAGGAGGAGGCGGCGGCGTGGGTGGTGGTGGGGATGGGGGCAGCGGCAGCGACGACGACGAGTACGAGCTCTCGGGGCCACCCATCGAGCTCTCCTCCACCCCGCGGCGCACCGGCACCCGCTCCCCTTCCCCATCGGTAACCTCAATCCATCCCCATTTTCACTTCCATCACTCGGCAGCGGCATTCAATCGTCAATCCCGTCTTCCTAATAATCTAATACTCATTCACGATCTCCTAATTAATGGAATATGCCGGCTGATTTATGATTTTACATCACGCATTTCGCATTGTTTATGCGGGTGATGTGTTTGATGTGATTATTTGTTACTTGTGTTCACCAACCAATAGTGGGCATGGTGCTCGGCGCGCTAAGTGGTGGCGTGTAATTCTGTGCATTTTAGATAGGTCGTTACCTTTCGGATCAGGCTCCGGTGAGCCGACCACCGTCGTTGACGAACCGATACACGCCCGGGAAGTCAGTTCCGATGATACCTTCGATCAAGCAACAGAACCGGCCAGCGACGAGCGGTCCAGGGTCAGAGTCGCCCGCAATAAATCGACGGGAGCAAAGGTATGCTCACATGTTTCAGGTCTTGCACGTGGCAGATTTCATACTGCATTGTTGAAATTGTTCCCATATACATATAGCTTCTCCTTGCTCAATTCAGCATGGCTATGCATTCGAGAGGATGTTATTTATCATGTCCCATGTGATTTATAAGTGGCGAAGCCAGGATTTGGGGTTGGGGGGTGTGGGGTAGGGATAAGCCATAAGGCCGAATAACCAATATCGATAGCAAAGGAGGCCAAATAGTCACTGTCAATAACAATAAATGTGTAAACTAGTTCTTTACAAAAAAAACTTGAATTTTAGCTCTTTAATAATATAATTGGAAGTTTGGAACTAGTTCTTAATGCTAAATCCTTTCAATGTAAATAGGCATCTTCTATTTTACTTTGAAAAAAAAGGGAAATCACTAACTAATTTTGTAGATATTGTTTCTTGCTAATGGGCTAATGTTTTTTTAGACTTGCTAACTGCCTGACCTTGTAAGTACAATCATACAACAACAGGGAGGAGGGGTTCAGATAGGGGTGTGTTGGCACCCTCCGGCACCCCCAACAGCTCCGCCACTGATTAATAATAATGGCATGCATGCTAATACTGGCTAGTTTAGTTTGAGGCTGTAGCTTATATACCACATATCAGTGAGATGTGTTAGTTTACTCGGCAGAGAAATTGAGCTGCAGATCAAAGCAATGGGCTTTGTGCCATCATTTTGTTGTTGGATGGAAATTTTATGAATTTGTTCTGTTGCTAATTTTCTGATGTAGGCACCATATTATCATGAGCTTCGGAATGGATAACACATCCACGAGTGTTGCTTTATATGTATTGCATTTGGGATTTACCCTAAGCGCTACCTATCATCTATGTAAATTTATGCATTTCTTCACAAATGGTGGATCCAAGTGCACCAATGTGTTGCTTTGGAGAAAATTAAACAGAACAAGTCGCGAATAGAAATAAGTCAAATAGCTAATCTAAAAACACAAAAAGCTTGTTACAAAATTCATGCATGCACTAACCTAGGTTGATGTGGCATTTGAAACAGATTATTGCCTTAGATTATCTACTTGATGATAGGGATAAGTTAAATACTTTGAGAAATAAACTTAACAGATAGCTTAGAACAATTGGTCTAAGCAACGCGGTAGATGTTTTTTTTTTGTTGAGAAGCCGTATTTTTAGAGCCGTGGAGCAATAATCCATGACAGCAATCCGGCAAATAAGCTACTACTACCTCCGTCCCAAAATATAGCGACTTTTGGAGCTAGAAATGCTTATTTTTCCACATTTCCTGGGATCAACTTCAGTTGGTTCCACCTAGGTAGTAGGGTACACACACGCTTGCGCATTCAGTGGTACTGCATGTTTCCCGTGCATTGAGGACTTAGTACCTCAAATCTCTTTCCTACCGTGTGTTAGGGACGTGCACGCGTGTGTTGTGGTGTGAGTGTGGTATGTGTTCGTGTGTGTCCTGAGTTGTACCCTCTCAAAAAAAATGCTTATATTTTGGGATGGTGTAACAAATAATGCCTTTTGTCGTATCTCCTTCCGGAAGTCTCTTTGTGTTGTTAATTGACAGCAAGCACCTAATTGAGTTTTTGTTCTCTTTTGAATATTATTTTTTATGATCACTAATAAGTAATATAGGCTAAATCATCCTTAGGAGATCAGTTGATCTTGGAAGCTCTCTAAGAGCGCGGCGCACATCTTCTTCTCTTCATGATGAGGTGATTCCTGTCATAAACAGCATTTTCTAAGAATTTTTTTCTTCGAAAACACAGGAGGATAAGAAAATTAATGATAGGAAATGCAGAATATCCTATATACTACTTGAGTTTGTCCTAAAATATGAGTTTGCTCTCATCTATGTTTAGTCCTTGATTCTTGTTCCAGCGAAATGTGGTATGACTGTTTGTATGGACTTTTGGATCCATCTGCCAAAAGTCCAAAACAGCTATCTTTCTCCACTTTAAGATTAACCTTTCTTATATGCAACACTAGTGTGATTCTTTGATGCCTCCTTTGCAGATTAACTCACTCCAAGTGGAAACCGAGGGCATGTACGAAAAAGTGAGATGAAATCACGATTTTGGATTTAATTTCTGCTTTAATTTGTTAGAAACACTCAAACATGCATCTTCCAGTTTAACCTTGCAGAAGAAAGGAGTGAGGAAGGAGATGCTAAGTCCATGCACATGGTATGTCCATACACAGATACCCCTCAGCTATGCATCTTCAATGCATTGTTTGATGTATTGTGTCAACATCTCTGATGTCCACATTTCAGGCTGCTGTTATTGCTGATGCTATAGAGCCAGAGGCCAATCTGATTAGCAGGTGTATAATTTAACAAAACACGCATCTTCTTGTTATACATGCATTGCTTCTTATCTTAAACTATGTTCCCATCTTGACTCCCAGAAAGGATGCAGCGCTACAACAAAGAAAGGTAGGTTTCTGCACCAAAATCCATATGTTCAAATTTGATGGAACAATTTAAATTGAAAGATTTTTTTTATTAGAGCTTCATTTTTATGAATATTTCTGCACAATAATGTTGAGTTTATGACTTTATGTGCTTTTGGGTGAACAAATTTCTGTTTACTAACTCTTTCCGAAGATCTGTTGTGCTCTTAGGCTTCATTGAGAAGTGCTTCAAGAAGGTCTAACAGCGCTAGCTGTGATGAAATTGCAGCCCTTCGGTCAGAAGCAAAGGTAGAGCTTTCACCAAATATGGTTACTTATTGCTGAACGATTTTCCCAGAGTTGTATTTTGCAAACCTAACTTTTATTTATGCTGTCGGGTAGGTTGCCAATTCTGTATCATCCGTATCTCAGCGTCTAAAAAGTACGGGATCAATCGTGAGATCTCTTCACGGAGCAACCAATAGAATGGTCCTGTCTCAAGAAGAGATGGTGAATATGTTTGCCTCACTATTTATACTTTGACATTTCGTAGCAAATGGATATATCATTAAATCTGTTTATGAAAATCCTTTTTAGGAGGAGGTGGTGCTAAAGAGATGTTGGCTTGCTCGCTACTGGAAACTGTGTGTTAGACTTGGTATTGAGATACTTCACACTATTAATACTTATTTACAGAGTGGTGGTATTCCTTCTGTTGTAAATTCTAACTAGGTCTCAAATGTATGTACTATGTAGAGATTCTACAAGTACGATGCAAAAGTAAAAAAAGGAAGTAAAAGTAAATTCGTAAAATTTTAAACAGATGTAAACTTTAAGACTGAAAGAATCAAGATATGCATTATTGCCCTTGCCTGTTCTGTCCTTTAAATACACATGCAAAAGATTGGATAATGCTTTGCATATTTTACCTTTAAAATATTGTGATTGCTGCCTTGCTACTTCTATATGCTTTTTCAAATAACTAAATTGAGTAAGTATATTTGTGTAGCAGTGTGTTCATTACTTGGATACTATGATTTTCTATGAAGCTTCATATCTTTTTCTGTTTTATTATTTTTTTTGCTACAGATTAATGTCAGGGTGTTGAGGAATTAGTGTCTTTCAGACTGTTTTCCTTTTCAGGCAGTCAATTGTTTCAAAAATAAATTTGTTGTTTACATGTTTTCTATGGCTAGCTAAATTGAGTTTTTTTTTATCAGGTATACATTGTGATATTGCTGAAGAAAAACAAGAATACTGGTCATCATTTGCACCACTTTCACTTGAAGTTGTCCTGTCAATTGGGCAAAAAGCTAGAGATGGAGCATTGTCAGGTCAGGTTCCTTATCAAAAACTCTTTTGTGAAGATGTTGATTCAAGTATCTCATGTTCAGTTACTCTACAAGTGCTTTGATTATAACCATTGGCTATCTTATGGACATGGAATCGAGACCCAAATTATCACCGATCAGGATACCTCATAGCTTAGATCGAGAAAAAAACTTATGTTTGATTTTCTCAGATAAAATGCCAAGACTTAGTGCCAAAGGCCTTAATAGAATGAAGCAATTCTTTAACTTCAGTAGGTCCACCTTAATTGGTAGATGAATTCAATGATCAATGCTTGCATGGCGGATGGGTGGGATCCGATGTTATTTGAAGCAGCTATTGATACCGCCTCCGTGGGAGCCAACGGTCGTGGTTGTGAGGCCTTTTCTGGTGGGATCTGAATCTCATCTCTGGTTATGGCTGGTCGGAGTTGTTTGTTTGTTTCTAGGCATTGTGTTGGTCGGTTAAAGGTCATGTTTGGCATTGTCTAGTTGTTGTTTTGCTTGTGTGAGGCGTCTTTTAGTTGTTTCTTTGGTTGTGCTTGGTTGATGTTCTGGTCATGTAAGGTCGCATGAGGCCGCAGGGGCAGATCTACTGCCTGGTGACCCCAGGCAGCTGCCCGGGCTCGTCGGTGGTTAATCCACTAAAATTCCATGTAATTAAGAAAAAAATGAAATAGAATTTCTGTAGTAAATACTAGCTATAGTGAAGTTTGCTCGTGCTCTAAAATAATTCTAGATACGCTACTGTGAGGCCGTTGTTTTGGTTGTGCATGGTCATGTAAGGTCACTGTACCTGGCTATTTTAGCTTTTCTTCTCTCGTAATGAAATGACGTGCAGATCTCTGCCATGTTCCAGGAAAAAAAAACTTAAGTAGGTCAAATAGCTAGTAAGAGTTTAAATTAATCTACAGAATGTACTTGAGTTGTTCAAAGTTCGCTGTCCATTTTCTGATATTTAATTTGTGGTTAATATTGGATGATTGCCACTTTTAATTCTGCACCATGCAACTACTGAATGATTCCAAGGACTTTTGTCCCCTGAACATGCAGAGTAACTTGCTCCATCTTTTGCTTTAGGCACTAAAGTTCTCATCAAGAGGGTTGATCTTTTATTTATCTCCTTCATTTTTCATGACCATGTTACCAGATGAAGCATCATTCTTTTGAAGTGTACATAGCTCATATAAATTCATCATTTCAATCACTACATATCTGTACATATCTGCTCTACAGAATTGTTTGTATATAACGCAGATCATGCTGACATGGAGACCAAAAGCAAAATGTCTGACGCAAGTCACGTGAATGATATGAGTGGAGATGGAAATATTGAGAGCATGCTTTTAGTTGAGAGAGGACTACGTGAATTATCTTCACTCAAGGTTTTTCTTGCTACTTATTATTTTGATATTCATCTAGTTTATACCTTTCTTTCAAAGTCCATGTGATACCACATGACAAGTTTGGTGAGATACATGGTCCAGAAATAAAACCGTGTACTTGAATATTTTGTTCATCTTTCATTTTCTTTCTGTTCATAAATTTGCAATGAATTTTTCCTAGAATGTGAAAGTTATCTTCTGTCAATTCTCTCATTTTTTTTAAAGTCAGTTTTAGTGTTGATGAAGTTAGTTCAAAATATTTTGATTTGGTTTCAGTCTCATCAGTTGATACAAAGACTGCTAATTCACTATTCATGCATCACTTTTTTGTGTAATTAGTGAAATGCAAAGTGATGTATGAAACTTAAGAGTGCTACTAGACTATTACTACTACTCCCTCCGTTTCATAATGTAAGACTTTCTAGTATTGCCCATGTTCATATAAATGTTAGTGAATCTAGACACACATATATGTCTAGATTCATTAATATCTATATGAATGTGGGCAATGTTAGAAAGTCTTACATTATGAAACAGAGGAAGTATTAGATTGACTAGCTTTATCATTGTGTTGTATATATTAGATGCAATATATGTGTCAACGAATTTTCATTTACATATTCCCACGGAATGGTAGAGAACTATTATTTTTATTTGGGTTTCGGTCTCAATAATTTAATATCCCCTTTGAAGGTAGAGGACGCAGTCATGCTTGCTTTATCAGAACATCGACGCGTCAGACCTCTCTCAGGTGGCTTCTCCAAAATGTACTCATTTCTTATTCTTTTCTTATAATATTTTTGTTTTATGAGATTCCCAGGTCTCTTATCTCGAAATATTTCTCTCTATCAAGATAAACTCATAAAATATTTTTTTTTCTTAATATTCAGTACATGGGGAATGTATGCGAGCCTCACTGTGAGGGTACCGACAATTTGATGTTTAACACATAGCATAGCTTGGGATTTTGAGAGCTGGTTATACCAATTCCCTCGTTCCTGATGAGAAGTGATACACTGACTGATTGTGATACCATGAACAAAACCGTATTTACAAGATAGCTCATTTATTCAGATGTTGCATATGAAATAACTTCACAACAAAATATTAGATAATATTTAATGTGCTGAAGAATTGCAGTTTATTGTGATTAGAACTGCTTTCTAGAATCATCCCTGCACAATTCACTGAGACTTCAAAAAAATTACTATGTCGCTATGTTGACCTGATTCTATTAGATGAATACAACTTCCAGTCTGAATATTGCAACTTTATTACGCACATCAATGGCCTGCAGCAATGCGTGACGTGTAGTTTTACTACTATGACTTAAGTTTCCAATTACTGCAGGTCCATCTTCTGAAGGCCAGAACCCTCCAGAGTCATTAGGTTAGTTCTACTTTACTAATATTCCTTTTTACATCCATAGCTCGGGAATAACAATTTCACTTTCTAATTACATATGCTGTCATTGGTCCTAGAATTAAGCGAGGAAGAGCAAGACGACGTACGCTTCAAGCAGGTGAAAAACCACTCTGGCATTTTGTTTTCTCCTGGAATCGATGTGATGTTGCACAAAAATTCGTTTTCGGTCAGAACTGGTATGTACAAGAACTCATGAATACATATGGCAGTCATGGTTAACCTACTTCTGGAGACGGGCCAAAAGTCATGACATAGAAGAAGATATAGCTGATGAGCGGCTACAGTTTTGGATAGAACAAGGCAATCATCCAGTTTCTACGATCGATATCATAGAAGGTAATCTCCTCTCTGAACAATGATGAAACTCTTGTCTCAAAGTCTGCCATCCTTTGCACTATTCGTTCAAAGTTTGAAATCATATACTTCTCGTTTTGACTGTCTTGTACAAAATTTACCGGCTAAATTGCTTACTTTATCTGATGCTTTTCTTGTTTGCAAAATTATGTAAACAAGTTGAGAGAGGACTTACTGAGCTGAGGAAGCTGGGAATCGAGTCTCAGCTGTGGGAATCGACGAGGAGATCTCTCGACGATGACTTTAGCAATCACGGGAGCCCAACCGGATCAGAAATTTAGCAGAAACATAATAATGGAACGAGGCCTAGTGCCAATTTTGTTTTTGTTCGCTGGTCCTAGAGTCTCATTGTTTTTGCGCACTTGTCATATATATTCATTCATGTAAAAGTTTTGATCGGAACCAAAACTAAATTCTCTCTCCTGGAATCTCTCCTTTTTAATTTTCTGGTATGTTAATTTATTATTCTGTTAAAGCAAAAGTGCTGGATTAATCATGGAATCATCAGTATGCTGCGTTGTCAAATTACATGGTCTGCTGCAACAAGATGTGTGCAGTGCACTGGTTGGTTCCTCTCCTTTTGCTTTTGCAATGGTGCTTCTATTCTTTCAAGGAGAAGAAAAAAAAAAAGTTCGACTCTTTCAAGGAGAAGAGGAGAGCACAGCAAAGCAAAGCCCCACTATTCTGCATTGCTTGCTCATTAGCACATTTGCAGCTTTGCAAATTGCAAATTGCAAATTTGCAATCCACTCCCCTTGGGTGTACGCCATGTCCACCGATCAGCCACCCGCGCCGCCGGCGAGCGCACGGCGACGGCAGTGCGTGGCGGCGGCCGCGGCCGCCACCGCGGCGTGCCTCGCGCCGCTGGCCGTGCTCCTGGCGGTACTCGTCCTCGCGCCGTCGCTGCTGCCGCGGCTGCTCCTCCGGCCGCACCACGTCGTCCCCGTCGTCGCCTCCGCCGAGCTCCGCCTCCTCGCCTTCGACGCCGCGGCGCCCGCCGTGGCGTACAACCTCTCGGCGACGCTCCGGTTCGACAACCCGGGCGGGCTCTACACGTGGCGGTGCACGGCGCTCCGGGCGGCGCCGTCGTACGCCGGGCAGCGGCTCGGCGACGCCGCGGCGCTCCCCGGGATCACGGCGCGCGGCGCCGGCGCCGGCGACGCCCGTGCGGCGGCGTGGGCGGGGACGCAGCGCGTGCCGCCCGGCCGCCGCGCGCGCGCCGTGGCGGCGGCGCTCGCGCGGGACAGGGCGGCCGGGTGGTACGTCATCAAGGTGGACGTCGCCACCGTGCAGAACGGCGCCGAGAGCGACTTCGCGTGCGTGCTCAGCTTCCCGGCCGCCGCGCTGGCGCGCAACGGGAGCGGCGCCGCGGTGTTCGACGGCGGCCGGTGCGTCGACGCCGTGCACGGCGAGATTTAGCCGGAGAGGAGAAGCGCCTACTTTTGTTTGAGACCTCTTCTCACTTTTTCCTTCTTTTTTTTTTCATGCTTCGTTCTGATTCTAAGCCGTTTTGCCTAAACCTAATTATAAGTTCGTAACGCTTATTGTTCCTAGTGACTATGCTAAAAAGTAAACTATAATAAAAACATGAAAATCAACTTCTAAAATATATATTTTGATTGCGATTAAGTGTGTTTGAGAGAAAAGGATTGGAGAGGATTAAAATGATGTGTAAAACGAGATAAATCATTAGCATACAATTAATTGAGTAATAATAATTTCATACTTAGAAAATATATATTAATTTGTATACTATTTTTGCAGTTAGGTAAACGTGCTCATGAAAAATGACAGATTTTTTATCTCGATGTGCTTCTTCCTAACAGCTATAGAACTAACACAGCTATATAAAGAGTAAAATATGAAGCAAAAACCTACGTGCCTTGTACACGACAGCAGCGACAACTCGGACTTGCAGAAATGTCGGAGTTCGTCGCCATGGCGTCCGTGGCATACATGTACCAACCAGTTGCAGTGCACGGCTGGCTTAATGGCATTGGCTTTGCCCGTCACGTACATCGTGTCAAGAGTCGGTAGCATCGATCTACCGAGCGCGCGTCCGCGTCGTTCGTTCGTTCCTACGTAGCGTAGCGCTACGTAACGTGTCGTCCAACACAATCCGAGTCGGACTCCGATTCACCCCGCGAGAGCGAGCAAAAGCCGCCTACAAATACTCCACGAAATCCACGAGCCCCCTCGTCTCCTCCATTGATTTTTCACTGATCAGAGCTCGCGATCGATCGATCGCGAGCTATGGTGGCGAGGAAGAAGAGCCCGCCGCCGTGGAAGACGAAGGGATCGCAGCAACCGCGCGGCGGCGGAGAAGCGGCGGCGGCGGCGGGGAGCAAGAAGGCGAAGAAGAAGAAGAAGGAGACGCCGCTGCCGCCGCTGCTGCCGCCGGGGACGGCGGTGGAGGTGCTCCGGAACGGCGCGTGGGTGGGCGGCGGCACGGTCACCATCCGCAACGACCGCACCTACACGGTCCGCCTCGCCGGCGGCATGACCGTGCTCGCCACGCGGAGGAGGGTCAGGCCGGCGCCGCCGCCGGTGACGGCGGACGTGTCGCCTGAACCGGACAAGGTCGCCGGCGATTGAGGAGCTTTGGCGTTGCGTGTCCTCGTGTGAATGACTGTAGTGATGATAGGATCAGTTTTTAGGATGTGAGTGAGTCCAAATGTAAGAAATGCAATTTGTTGATCAGATGAGATCAGATCAGATTGCAGATTTATGATAATTTTTTCCTTTCTTTTTAGCTGAATAGAGAACCAGCCATGTTCATACTTTCTTTTGTACTGGCAAAATTGAGCCTTCATTGTACTGCCAAAATTGAGCTTTGCATGCAAGAAAAGGATTGCACATATTGTAGCATTTCAATACCAAAATACGAATTCTGTATATGAGAAGAAAGAGAGGACAGAGCTAAGGTTAACAAGTGTACACTCAAATGCAATCTTTTGAGCCAAAGCTAAATTTATGGCAACAGAACAATCAATAGAAAATTGTCTTGCATTCATGCCGGCAGCACAAATACATCGGTTTTATGATGAAGGAAAGCAAATTTCATTGCCAATGGATCTTGTTTGACCTACTAGAAAGAGTACATTGCTGACAACAACGAAATATTTCAGCGCCCAAACAGGATGAACGCCAGGAACTGATGTATGCAGAATTAAGGCAACTATTTGCTTCTCTTGACCGCACGCCTTCCCTGGCCCTTCTTTGGAGGACCCTTCCCGCGACGCTTAAGCATTTCCAGCTTTGACAAACGCCTACAAAAGAGAGATGTGATGTTAATTACAAAATTCCATGTTATCATTGTATACGAGTTAAAAAGCAGAAGGCATAAAGGGGGAAATGGCGATAAAATCAAATTGACAAGAATAGCAGGAACACCTTCTGTACTTTAGCCGTACATTTAAAAACAGTAAATACAATGATAATCAACTAAATGTAATCCACATACATACTGTACAGCATAACTCGAGTGGTAAAGATTATATCAATCATTTCTATCAGATTATAACAACACAATATTCAAGAGAATTTGGGGTCAAAGTTGGGCAAGATGAACTCAACCTTCGGTGGTTATATATATCATGGATGTGGAAGTTCAATTCACTACAATTGGTGACTAATGAATCCACTGTAAACAGAAACCAAGGCTTGAACTTGTTCCCTCAAGACGAACAAAGCTACAAAGCCATCAAATTATCAAAACCAACCAATAATATTCGCAGTGCGCCAAGAACAGTGGTGAGTGCAGTGATAATACTACTCATTTCAAACCCAACGGATCCACAACCTCACCTAATCATACCACAATCAGCAATTCCCTACCAAAGGATTATGCACCTAGCAAGTGGAAATCGGTAAAATTCCATGGTACTCAACACAACAGACAACCGGTAAATCTACCATGGCTGCACGGATGAGTAACACAGGACGAATCGAGCAACAAAAGTCGCGTTGGTGACGCATATCGTCAAGCACCTATCAGGCATGATCCAACAGAAGTCACCACCTCTCACGCATATCAACAAACAGTTGGCGAGCACATGACACAGAAACTGCCCCCCAACAGAGCAGAAATCCTGGATACTTCTCTTATAGTTCGTCACCTAGGCATATCAGCAAACACGTCCTGGGCGTAACCCAGACCTCCTCCCTCCCCGTGAAGCAAATGAACGAACACATGGTGGGCACAACCAGGCAGCGTGCAAGCTAGTACAGCTCAAGTGGAGGGATGGGGAGCACTTACGCCTTCTCCTCGCGCGCCATGACGAGCGGGTCGTCGCGCTTGATGTCGTAGGGGTACCACTGCGCGAGCTGCTCGCCGACCATCTTCTTCCGCAGCAGCTTGGTCGCCGCGCGCTTCCCCGTCGGGTTCAGCGCGTGCCCGAAGATCGCCGCCCGCGCCTCCGCCACCCCCGTCGTCACCGCCGCCGCCAGCAGCTGCCGCAGCCCGCCCACCCCCGCGCTCATCGCCGCCGCCGCCTCTTCCCAGCTCGCGATCTGGCCGCCGGGTCGGGGGGTAGCAACTCGGTATCCTGAGATGGGCCCTAAAAAAGGAGTATTAGGGCCAAGTGAAGTGGTGATGTGGCAGGCCTGACCATCGGCGCATTTCAGGCCCATCTATCTCTTAGGCCAGATTGGGTCGCTATCCTAGAATAGCCTCCGTCGAGGCGGCCTGGCTTTGGTTTCGGGCCATGTTCGGTTGGGCTGGGAATGGCCCGGGTAACGGCCCAACAACCCGGTGTGGAAAGAATCCCGGCCTATGCGAGATTTGCGTTCGGTTAAGCCCTCTCGTGGGCGAGGGCGACGCTGCGGCGGCCGGCGCGGTGCCGCGCAAGTCGGAGGCGACGGCGACCAAGACGGTGGCCACCTTCTCTCCGGTGAGTTTCTCCCCTTCCCCTCTCCCCTCCTCTTCCATGTCTAGGGCTAGGATTTCTGGCGGACGCTGTGCTGCTGCGGCGGCGGTGGCGGTGGCGGGCAAGATTGATGAAGTAGTCTCGCCGCTGACGCCGACGCTGCTGCTCATCCTCCTCCTCCGCTGACATCACCTTTCTCCCTCCTCCTCCTCCTCCTTCTATAGATTTCATAGAATAGCCTCTTCGGCTCAGCCCCGTCAGGGCTTGTTCGGTTCTTGGAGGTTAAATCCCTAAGGGGAAGCAAACCAGGGAGGGATTCAGTGGAAAATAGTGTAATACTTCGTCCGTTTCATATTATAAGACGTTTTACCATTACCCACATTCATATAGATGTTAACGAATCTAGGCATATATGTGTATAGATTCATTAACGGAATTAAATTTGCGAATATACTTCTTTTTTCAATAATTTACATTTATATACATGCATGAAATTTTTTTGCAAAAATATACTCGTCCCGCGGGATGGAAATGCGGGACCGCGACGGTCCCGCAGCTTCAAAACGCGGGACCGTCAGTCCCGCGGTCGGCCGCGTGGCACTGCAACGGTCCCGCAGCTCCAAAACGCGGGACCGTCGCAGTCCCAACGGTTCCGCAGCTCCAAAACGCGGGACCGTCGCGGTCCCGCGGTTCCAATACGCGGCACCGTGTGTGCTAGCGATTTTTATACTCTGCGTACTGTTGAACACTGTTGAAGTGTTTGGACACTGTTTTCGCACTGTGCAACACTGTTTCGTACTGTGCATGGGGCGCTTCCGCACATTGGAACCGCGGGATCGCCCATGAACAGTGCCAAAACAGTGACAAACAGTACAAAAAAACAGTCCTAAATAGTGCCACGCAGTATAAATTCGCTGTCATATAATAAGCGCGTGGCAGAGGACGGGAACGAGCCGTCCCGCGCAACCGTGAAGCGCGATCGGCGCGGTCCCGCGCATTGGCGACGCGCGACCGGCACGGTCCCGCACAACGGAGACGCGGGACCGTCTCAGGACGCGTGGGCGCGAGAGGGAGGCGGTGCCGCACTTCCGCGCCGCGGGAGCGAGACGGTGCCGCACGGCCGTTCTACGCGACCGCCGGTCCCGCAGAATGGAAGAGCGGCACCACTCGGTCCCGCGTCCCCGCCGTGCGGTGAAGGTATATTTGTGCAAATATTTTTCATGCAGATATATAAACGCAAAATATTTAAAAAAATGTATATTTTCAATTTTTTTCCTTCATTAACGTATATATGAATGTGGACATGGCTAGAAAGTCTTATAATATGAAACTAAATAGTGGTCAAAGTTATTTTTTAGAGACCATACCCTTGTTCAAAACAACAATTATTTTCAACTTGGAGGGAGTACAATCATGCTTTCAGAAAAGCACGACATATATGCCTTTCCTCTAAATTTGCAAATTCTACATATGCAGCTGCAGGAAAATTGAGCAACCCCAGAGTATGGCACCTGTTGCTGCGGAAGAGGACGATGTGCCAAGGTTGAGGAACACTCGGTCAAGGGCAACAAGGCGGCAGCCAGGGTTGCAGGAGCTCCTGAGGACTGTGCGTGGCCGTGGTAATGAGCAAGACAGCAAGGGGCGATCGCATTGCTCCCGATCTGCACCTGCTTCACCATCATCTGAGCGAGATCAAAGGATGAAGAGGAGGAGAAAAATGATCGAGGCCGATCATAGTTGTGAGGATGGAGAGGAAAAGGTGCCAGAGAAGATGAATGAAGGGGAGGAGGAGGAGGAGGTATCTTCTGCACCGAGCTCTCCACTCCACATGCCCTTATTACCTTTCAAATTCAGTGGGTATGACTCTGATGGTCAAGAGATCCTTGAGCCACCTGACATGGACATTGTTGATGCTTACCAGAAGAGACGTGAGGAATTCGAAGAAAAGAGAGGTAATTTTCAGTCCAGTTTTCCTTCTTTTCTGTTGGGATATACCTTTATGGTTGATTGATTATACAGATCGTGCATATCCTGTATCGACAGCTAGTGACCTTATTTAGCTCCTAGCAATCTCTATAAATTAGTTGACTGACCTGTACACTATGTATATTGTATATGCCAATGTTCCTTTCTTTCATTTTCTTCTTTATGCTGTTGACATATAATGCAGATTTGGCATAACTCATTGTTAATGATGGTGTAAGTCAAAAGTTGAGAACAGTACCACCCTCCATCTAATAGAAAAAAGGAGGATTTTTTTAGTGTTACTTTCTTAATGCGTTTTCTCTTTAATAAAAAATGTTTTGCAAGATTAAAAAAATTATTCCTCTAACTCTAAATTGACATGTACTTATGCATTGATGGTCTTGTAGCTCGTCAGCTGAGCCTGCCCACACTTAACTCAAGTAAATCTTTGTGTCTTTCGGACCCAAAGTTGTTGGACATCTATGAACCTGCAAAGAAAGCAGTCCTTGGTGCTGCAAAATTCATTTTAGGACTTTCTTCATCCATTGGTACATAGTTTTCACATCTCTTATTTGATATAATAGAAAATTTTATTTGTTTGCTGATATTATATATATATGTATGTATGTATATTTGTAGGAGGAAAACCATTAGCACACTGCTCGGGGTTTCTGGTTGATTGGGATGAAACAAGGAAGAAGGGAATTGTAATGACAACCTCTGATATTATTTGCTCAAAGTCAAGCTTAGATTGTTGGTCTGGTGAAGATGAGTATTCTCCTAATGCTGAGGTATGTTGGTAAATATTGATGTTTTTTCATGAAGTTGGAGAAAATACAACTAAAAGGACACGACCTAATCATACTATTCCTAAAGCAAAAGAATTGTTATTTATCGACAATTTACAATTAACGACGTGCATGGCATGACCAGCTACAATAGTGCGTTATACAATTAGTACACACTTCTTATTCACATTATTCATCTATCACCTTTCTACACCCAGCTATAAATCCCTTCTTGCAAGCATCAAAGCATATAAATTCTTTCAAAAACAGGTGTGTTGTACTCTGGATTCAAGCATACTGCAACAGTGCTACCGGGATTACTCCTAAGTATCTCTAGTTGGTTATAAAAAAGCCTAGGATATTCTTCCTTTGCAGCTTCATACACTCTCTTCATAACTATAGATTTAGCTCTTTTAATTTTTGAATGGCTAACATCGGCAAACATATCCAAAAATACTGTTTCTTTTATGCTATCAATTTTCTATGCTGGATTGGCCTTGATCAAGTGCTCATACTTGTCAGCAATCCTTCTAGATGTCACAAGCCTATTTTTTTTATTTTGTGGACATTTATGCACATCAATGTAGGTACACACTTGAAACCAATCACACTTGGTTCTTTGAGCTCCATAAATCATCCAAGGGCAGCCATTCCAAGAACATTTAGCTCTGATCCTCAAACGCTCATCCTTTGGGAAAGAAATATGCCTTCTAACAGAAAGACCATAATTAATCACTGCCTTCTTGAATTGCTCTCTTCCCCTAAATGTCATGCCAACTGCAAATACAGGGATTGTAGCCTTGCCATCATATCGAGGAAACCTGCTCCTCCTCCTAACTGTGTTAACTTCACTACCCTCCTCCTCATCATAGGATGCTTCTTCACTAGAATCAAAATATGGGGTATCACTGCCATCGTCCAGATCATCCATTAATTGGTTCTAGCTCATCCGTGGCAATAGTAAGTATATCACGATTTGGTTGCCTGTAAAGTCCTTTCTTTACCATCTTAGCATGCTTCCTAATCTCCTCGGCCTCTTCATCTTCTTCTGAGCTATCTTCATCTCCAGGTATCCAATCACTATCATCGGTTTCTTCCATATCTTTCTCATCGACAACTACCTTCTCTTTGTTTCTTAATCTATTAGAACTCATCTCCTTTGCATCTAATATTGGTTCTTTACCATTCTTTAACATTGATGGACTAGTAAAATCATCTACTTCACCACCTCTTATCTCATCTTCGAAGTCACTATCCTCAGTACTTTCTTCATCATGAGAGATAATTTCAACATACACATCTGCGACACCTCCCTCTGCAATGCTATTTGACATCTCACAACATGCCTTGTCATCACTAAGCAGTATAAGACCATTATTAAGTTCTTGACCAGGAAACAACCAATGGAGATAAACTTGATCTTTATCTCCCACATTTGAGTGGTCTTTGAGATGTCCAATTAGTTCAGGTAGTGATATCTTGTCTCTGTCGATGTACGACATTGCTTCATCTCCTCCAACATAACTGACTTGTTTGTCATGATAAATGAACTCTCCACCGAGATGAAACCTAACCATGAGTTGGTCGAAATGATCCATGAAACCTATGAACAAGGGGTAGAAATATATCAGTTTCCATCATATCAATAAGGTCAGAAAAAAAAAAGAAAATAAAACCATAATACCATTTTATTTCGGTTGTGATAGCTAATTAAACCGGTAAGGTTTGATTACCAAGAAAATTGTCAAGTAAGAAGAGAGGTTGACACAGGTATAAGTACAAACACCTGCATGTTGCATATCCATGGTGTGCATAAAACATCTTTTCTTTGCATCTCTGTTAGCCTATGATAGCTACGACAAAATCTGGACACACTAAAAAGCTTATTAGGATTACCGACAGGTACACTAGTATATTGCTAAATGCTATCCTGGTTCCTCTGCTTCTTGTTCATGGGAGTGTTGTATCCAAAACCAACACATAGTTCTACCATAGCAAAATCATACCAATAAGATACTATGACTAACCTCAACGTTGCCGCAAGGAGCAACGATCAGGAGGACAAATCCAGAGCGATCATGTGAATAAGCAGGGGTTGGGGGCTGTCGCTCACTAAGAAAGGAGACAAGGAGGTGATCAGGATGAGGTCGGATTTAGAAGGCAACTAATGATCTCTGATTATACGGTGCCGCGTGGAAATTTCTCGTGTAGTGGCTAGCGGAACGTTAAGAACGAAAAACCCTTGTTGACAGCCCAACAAGAGGAACGAACACTCCACATTGATGGCCCAGTTTCAGAGCTACGTCATCTAGCAACCATGTCGGCAACTCACGTGGCTGAATCAATCAAAACCACCTCCACACTGGCGAAACAGTCGTGGAATACCAGGCTAGGGAGCTAAACGACCTGGTATTAATTGTTTAGGGGGTTAAGTGAGCCTAAAAATTGTTTAGGGGGTAAAGTAGACAAACGCAATAGTTTGGGGTAGTAAATTAGACTTTTTTTTCTTTTTTTATTAACGTCTTTAAGATCCAGCTTGGAAGTTCCATTATATTAAAAATATGAATTGCTACAATGAATACTTCAAACAGAAACATAATATTGCCTCCATAGAAGCTTAACTTCTGCCCAACCTAGAAAAGTAGTTTATCCTCCAATATGTATCTAAGGTTACTGAATCAATTTAGTTGTCCTACATTCGACTCTTCTAGAAACATATGTATCATGTATTTTTTTTGTTGAAATGATTGTGGATCATCTTCTATCCTTTTGGTATTGTTCTTTTGTTGAAATGATTGTTGATCATTTTCTATCTTTTTGGTACTGTTATGTAATTTTTGGGTGTTGTTCTCTAATTTAGTGTGGTATATTATGCAATCAACGTCCAGGTCTATGTCCACTTACTAGATGACACCACAGTGGAGGCCCGCTTGATATACTCTCAAACACATTATAATCTGGCTTTATTTGAGATTGCTCTGGAGACTCCTGGCGAGTTACCTACTTTTAGTTCTAGAGTTGACCGTGCTCAACATATTTTCATGCTTGGAAGAGATGAAAATTTGTATCCGCGTATAAGTCATGGCAGAGTGTTGTACTCTAATCCATACTTATGTGATCGTCATCACTATATGTACGTTAGCAGTGCAATCCCCGAGGTATCTCCATTTTACCCCACACCATTTCTTATTTTGAATTGTGTAGTGTATGGCATGCATGATTTGTTCTAGTTAATTTGGTAAATGTTGTAGTTTGGCTTGGGAGGATTAGTGATTGACCTTAAGGGGAAGGTGGTGGGAATGACTGGTCTTATACATGCTTTTATACCTTCATCGGTGATACTCAAGTGTTTGAAGCTATGGCATAAGTTCCGGTACGTTTTCTTTTTCAGTTCTATTTTTCTATTGTGTTGCACATCTGTTTGTTGTTGAAAGTTAAATTGTAGAGTTGATTTAATTCAGATAGATAACCTAAACTGCCTTAGATGTGCATTTTCTAATGTATATTGTAGTTAAATCATGCAATGCTAAAACTCATGTATTAAATTGTAGGATCAGCACCATGACGGGCCTTAGTTGCACAGAGTATTGGAATAGATTATATATATTTTGTTTTAACTCTATTCCGTATCAATTGATTTGATATATTCTGTCAAACTTTCAACATTTTGTACAAGTTATTTGAGTTTCAAATTATTATGTTTTAATAAATTTTTATTATCCTTTATATCCTCTGTTGAATTGAAATTAATGGCTATCTGGAGTAGGTGCATCCCTCGCCCTCAACTTGGAGTTAAGCTTTGGGCCATTAAGTTTCTAGACCTTCCCCATATCGAGATGATATTGCGCAAGACTCATATTTGTGATGGCCTAATTGTTAAAGAGGTATATAGACTGTTTATCATTGCTAATTGTAGACTTCTCTGCACTTCCTGAAGATATACGCCGACTATCAACTAAAATATAGGTATCAGAAGGGTCCATCCTTGAGAAACTGGGAGTCAGAATAGGTGACATTATTGAATGTCTCAATGGAGAAAGGATTTATGATACAATTCAGGTAACATGTTCTAGACGTTGAAGTTTCTTATAAAATGAAAGCAATCACTGTGTGTATTAGTTTATTTCTTGACTTGTGTAACTATTTTGTTGATGGTGTTAGTTGGAAGAGTTGCTCTTAGAATTGTGTGAAGGTCATTTTGATAACGGAAATGGCCTCAATTCCACACTGGAAATGGCGGTAAATGTTCTTAACTGTGAGCTGCATTGGTTGTGTAATTTGATATCCTTTTATGTACTTGCTCAATTATACCGAATTGATTTTATAGGTTGTCTTATTTCACATACGCAAAGGTGCTCAAAGCATAAAAAAGTTAACAGCAAATGTCTCAGAAAATGGGGAAGTAGTTAAAAGAGGTCTGCAGATTTCTTTAATGGTGACGAGAGTAGATATGCTTTACCGGTACATTGTGCAACAATGATATAAATTGCTGTTTTTCATTTCCTAGGCGTTTTCTTTGTTGCTGGCCCTACCTGTGAAGAGATTCCTAATCTGGCCCCGCTTGGGAAAGGTGCACTAAGAGAAGAGGGCTGGGCAGGTAAACTGTAGCTAGCCATGGTTGCTGTCGTGTTGTGTTTACCAACGTGTGTGTTTCTTTACTATTCGAAATTACTCAGGAATGAACTTTTGTGCTAGAAAGCACAACCTGGTGTTTTCATGTGTGTTTGCGATTTCTTTTTGTGGATTTTGAGAATTTCAGTTTACTAAAAGTATTTGTACTGTCTAGGTGATTCTCACATCCCTACTGCAGATGGAGCATCAACCTCAGTACCACTTGATCAAGTAGGTCCTGGTAAGTCATCTTTGCTGTGTTAATCTGCTGCTCTTTTGCACACTGTCATGTGCTAACTATTGATAGCATGCTAAATGCCCATTTTATACATTGTGATAATGTTTCTTGATTACTACGTCATGAATATTTCATAGCACAAGTACGATAATTGAAGGATTATAATTTGTGTTCATTTGCCTGAGTATATCATTTTGTTTTACCGATTAGATTCTCGGGAAGAGATTTCTACCCAGGAGCCACTAGCAACGACAGGCAAGTGATCTTTTCTATACAGGTCAACTGTGATGTAAAAATGTAATATGGTTTTGTCTTGTACTCCCTCCGTATTTTAATTTATGACGCCGTTGACTTTTTAATCAACGTTTGACCATTCGTCTTATTCAAATTTTTTATGTAAATATAAAAATACTTATGTCATGCTTAAAGAATATTTGATGATAAATCAAGTCACAATAAAATAAATGATAACTACATAATTTTTTTTGAATAAGACGAAAGTTCAAACGTTTGTCAAAAAGTCAACGGCATCATACATTAAAATACGGAGGGAGTAGTTTGGTAAGTGCCTCAGTACCATGTGAGGTTGATAGCCATTTCCCTGTACTCGTGCATGTCTTATGCGATTTACATGTACAAATGGTTTTGTGAATTCTAATTTGTCCTGTTGATGTCAATGTAGTGAGCTTTCATGTTTTCAATGATTAGCAATTCAATAAATTTAGCAATCCTTTTTCTCAACAAAAAAGAACATTTTTCTATCCATGCTCCATATTCTGAGATCGATTTATTCTTCTATACAATAGATTTGGTCGCATTAAATTTTATACAGCTAAAGCAGTAGATGTATCTTGCCAAGTTTGTGATAGCCTAAGCAGTTAAACCCAAAAAGTTCACAACCCTGAACACTGTTCTTTGGACTGATGTATTGATTTGCATTAAACAGGTAATGTAAACGAAAAGCTCCAAAGGCACAGCAAGTGTTTTTTTTTCTAGATGGGAATCGTTTTTTGCATATTGCTCCATGCAAATCTTTTGGCTCCAAAAGCACTTAAGGATAGCAAGCCATTCTACTTATACAATTCATCAATGGAATCCTTTTTTTCTTCTCGGTGTGCTGTTCGATAAATATTTGAGAGAAACAAGAAACTATTCCTGAAGTCTTACACTTTAGAGCTTTACATTTCCTTAAAAAAATGAGTTTATATGTGAACTTTGTGGTCAAAGGATACCTATTGTGTTGTACGTAGCAACCTCCAAGCAATGAGAAAATCCACACTTAGAGGATGCCACTGGATGCTCCTACAGCAGTGACAAAGAAATTTGTCCTTTTTTTGGACAATTGCTTTAAATGCTTTTAAGTCATACTCCCTTCATTTTAGATTATAAGTTGTTTTTGACTTTGATCAAAGTCAAGCTATTTCAAGTTTGACTAAGTGTATAGACAAGTATAGTAATATTTATAATACCAAATTAGTTTCATTAAATCAATAAGCGTATGTATTTTCATAAAAAATATCTTGGGTTGAAAACATTATTATTTTTTCTACAAACTTGGTAAAATTTAAAGCAGTTTGGCTTTGACAAAAGTCAAAACGACTTGTAACCTGAAACGGAGAGAGTAATAGAGCATTGTCTCTTGCCAGCAAATTGCAGTTAGTGCAGATGCGTTGGTTTATCTAACTATCTTGGTCTAACTGCCAACATCTTCATATGGCCCATCAATGCTTTTGGAACTAACCTACCAATGATACTGAGGTTTTAGAATGGGTTTTTGTATCTTAGGGAAATCCTTTGCTAACCTACCAAAAGCATGAGAAACTCCAACAAGTTTGGGAGGAACAGAGGGTAGCCATGGTCGCTGCTGTGTGGTGTTTGCCCCTGTGTCTTTGCTTTACTACTCGGAATTACTAAGTAATGATTTTTTGTGCTAGGAATACACATTGCTGGTTTTATGTGTTTGTGCTTTCTTTTTGTGGATATTGAGAATTTCAGTTCACTAAAATGTTTTTTTTATTGTCTAGGCGATCCTCAAATCCCTACTGCCGAAGAAACATCAACCTCAAGGCCACTTGACCAAGTAGAGCCTGGTAAATGATCTTTGCTGTGTTAATATTCTGTTCTTAATTTTGCACGAAGTGTCGAATGAATTCTTGTGAAATTGTTGATACCATACTAGATGCCCATATGCATTGTGATAACGTTTCATAATTACTATGTGCTCCTTATGTCCTGTAATCACATATCTTATGCTAGTCTTGCTTTTAACCTTTCATATCATATAAAATCTATTGTTTTTGCCTACAACTTTTGCCCTGGGTACTGTATTACTGTTTTTACTGTTTAGGCAACAGTAGATCGATGCTATCTGCACCGTCCGATGTAGCATGTGTCAACGATCCGGCGTCTGTTCCACTTCTACCCTCCCATCACCGTGAGCAGCCCGAGATTGGTTTCTTCTCCCCCATCGACTCCTTTTGCGCTGCTTCTCCTCGCCGCCACCGTGTAGCGCCTAGGGTTTTCTTCGCCCGCGCGCGTCGATCCCCTTTTCCCCTGGTCATTTTCTGGTCCTCTTCACCGCCGCCGTGCTCCACCGTATCCTTCGGCGACCGCCGCGGGCAGCGCGAGAGGGGGGGAGGAGAGCTCGCCCGCCGCGGGCAGCGCGAGAGGGGAGGAGGAGAGTTCGCCCGAGGGCGGAAGCCAACGAGGGGATGATGGCCGGACGGCGAGCTCGCCGAGGCACGGCTGTTGGAGCGAACTAATCCGGAGGGGGTCGGGCCCCTTGGTGTCTTGGTGCTGCTCCGCCCCGGATCTGCCTGCCCCATTACTTCACTTTCTCCTTGCAATCACGTCGGCGGGGAAGGTCGTCGTCCCACGAGCAGACGAGCTCATGTCGGCTCGACATGGTCTCCCGAGCTCAGCGGGCATGGGTTAGCTTCTTCCCTCCATCCTCCATTTGGTCTCTATCCAGATTTGGTTGTCTCATGTTGTAGCTAGGGTTTTGGTGGGTAATGCACATTGCAGCGGACGAGGTGAGGCGGCAGGGTGCAGCGCGTAAACTTAAGTTTTAAGTCCTTCAACAATGAATCGATCTGTGCAAGTTATGCAAATATTGGTTGTTTGTGTGCCTGCTCAACCTCAGCTTGCTGTCCTCCGGCTGTGGTGGCAGGAAGGGAAGCACTTGCCTGTCTTCCTATAGCTCAAGGTATTATTTAAACTTTTACCAGATCTTGCTCACCATGTCGATGATTTGGCCCTGTGTGTATTTGATTAGTGCTGTCTAAATGTGATCTTTGCACTGGCTATGGTTTAACAGTCATGATGGCATGGAGGCTAATCTTCTTTTCCTGCAGGTATCAATCTTTTTGTCCTGTAAATCTTCCCAGACGTTGTGCTACATGCTCTAATTGCACATGTTTTAAGGCATTCATGGTTGCACATAAATAATTAGGTAATGCTTTGTTGTATGTAAGATGTTTCTTTTTTGTCACCTGCTTCAGGTTCCTAATTGGCTTCAGAATCGGCTTACAAGCTAAATGTAAATTTGATGTTGGGTGGCGTCTTATCTTGACCAGAGTTTGTCAAATTCGCTTGCCTACTTCTGCGTTATATAACTTGCAAGCTATTTTTCTTATAGCCATGCCATGAGCTTCGATGCACCTTCTACTCCATTGCCTCACGTATGCAGCTGTGTTTTGATATATATGGTACAGTGACTTTGTGAGCAGCTCAGTTTAATAGAACCAAGGTACGTTGTGCTCTTCTCCTTTTATTTAAATATATTTGCAGATTTTCAGAATTCTTCAGTAGCTTCATTTGATTTTCTTTACAATCTTATAGGTAAGATGGTTGATCTCGATCATTGTTTCAAATTTATTGCCTACAACTCTTTGAAATAGAAGGTAAATTAATCAGACGCTCGTCTACTTTATATGTTTGTGTATGTCATATACTTGATGAAATGCTTGATGGACTTAGCCCGTCGGTATGCATTATTGGTTAAGCACTCAAAACTGCACACTGTTGTCACTTAATTTTAGATTTCTCATCACGTTCAGTTATATAAGAGTCAGGCCATAAAAGATATGGCAGCTATTAACTATATAATATTTTGACCCAAATGGTTCAGTTCTAAAGCACTTAAAGATGATTATTGCAGGTATTATAGGCCAACACAAAGTTTGTTTTTGTTATCTCTTAGTTGCTTGCAGTATACTCATATCACATTGAAGCCAAGTTATGCTATGTATTACCTTGATTTGGTCATGAAATTTTTCTCTCAATTCAGGAAGCATTTTTATTCAACGATGTATGCACTTTCACTGCTAAACTACTATGCAGTGAATGTGTTCATGATTGTTTTCTTCTGATCCTAGCACATTTCCTGAGATATCCTTCAAATATGATGACTTCAAATTCATCGTGTACCTTTTTTCCTCTCTCATATTTACATTGTTATGCCTAGGACGATAGCTTCAATTTAACAGTGCACCTTCACTACTTGATAATTGCGATGGGTAAGATGCTATCAGTCAACTGTGAATCTATTATGTACTTATGTTGTTTCATCTCTACAAAGCCAAAAAATGAAGTTCTCCCTAGACACACCCAAACCTTCCAAGTAGAGCAATAATTTTATTAGCAAGCATTATTTCCACGTATCTATTGCCTCTTTGATTTAAATAGTAATCCAAGATAAAGGAGTTAATGGAATAAACTAAATGGGCTGCTTATTTTGTTTAACGTCCATAGATTTGCAAGCAGGAGTCCCTCAATCTATATTTTCTTTGCTTGGCAGGAGTTACATTTTTTTAGATGACATCCAGTAGGGATTCAGACCACTGGAGCTTGAGGGATACACACCATTCAGTAATTTGAGAAATTGATGTTTCCTAAACTTATAGATTATATATGATACTAATTAGTTGTGTTTGTCGTTTTTGAGTAATCAGTACCATATGTAAAATGTAGCTCAAGCCATTTTTTGTGCTTTTACCTCTCCTATCAAGGTAGGAGGACTGATGTTGGTATTTGGGAACGCCTTTTCATTTTCTTTATGTAATGAGAATTAATATATTTCCAACTCCTAATTAGTAAATCACAACAAGAGCAAAGCATTAAGGATATAATTACCCAATCCAAGAAACTAGACAATTGGAATAACTAGGCTAAAAATGTAATATGAAAATACAGAACATTCAATGATGTGTTGGGAGGATCATTTCCATCCACTGATTGCATATGCTAATTCTATAATCTATCATCTCTTTTTTCAAAAGGTCCTTTTGGAGATTCTTCATATGGTTATCCTGACCTGCTAACTTTTATGATTTAATCTGTATGTGCTGCTGCTTTCCATGTTTCTGCAAATGCATATGTATTGATGTGCTCTTCAATCTCCATGCAGAGTATGCTATCATGACACACAAGGATTTTTTGTTGGGTGCTGTGTACAATTATTTTTATCGAGGCCTTTGAAGGTATTACAGTGATATATTGTTACATCTCCTTCACCAGGCTTCTATACTAGATATCCTCCTATTACTATTTTAATTCTTTTTAAACCAGACAACCTAATTAGCTATTTGTACTTATTTTTTATACAAGATTTTTTTTACAAGATAATATTTGCACCATCAGATGTAAAATGCCAATTTTGTTCAAGCTCCCCTGAGCCATATACCATATATTCATGTTCTGCTTGATTTCTATTCTGTGGTTGAGCGAAATTGTGTGTATAATACTTATGCATCTTGCATTGCATTTAAGCTTAATTTTTGTAGAGGCCACCCTGTGCAGATTTCTCAATTTCAGCCATAGCAAAACAAGGGGCATTTTCCATACTCTTAGGTAATTGCTTTGGTGCATTGTATTTTGATATCCTTCAGGTCTACTATTTGAACTCACCAATTAGTGAGTAGGATGAATAGATATTTACTTAAACTTGATGTTGCTACTTCCCTGAAGAGATTTTTCTAGCTTGATGTTGCTACTTCCCTGAAGAGATTTTTCTATTGGTTCTACCAACTATAAATAATTTATTCCTCCATATTCTGCCAGTATCTCTTTCAGTGTGATACATGAATTCAGTATGCACATGCTCTATTAGCCTAAGTGCTACTTTCATTATGTCATGATAAATTGAGTTATGCCCATTTCAGATATGTGATCTCTACTTCTCTTTATGGAGAAAAATCCATGAAGGTAGATTGTTTCTCCTTTATCCCAGAAATGAGGTGGCATTTCAAACCGGTATGCTTCGTTGTGTCAACTAAACAATTGTAGGTCATGTAAATAGAACAATTGATTCATTTTTTCACTATATTATAATGATAAAGAATATTTCATTATTAGCAAAAGATTCATATAATTTCTGATTTGATTATTCAATATATCCGTGGCAACGCGCGGGGTCCCGGCTAGTATTTCATAGGTTTAGTCCATGGTATCTTCTACGCACGCTGCAACGCATTATCTCTTCTTGGTTTCATTCCTATATTGCATTCATACTTATTTCCTTTTTAGTTCTAGTACAACCATGTTGTGCTTAACCGAAGGAAAACTGCAATCAAGTTCATCTATTTTTTTCCTCTTATATTTTGTACAGGTTTCTTGCAGGAAAGAATAGGTTGAGCGAAGGTAATGCAGTCTCATTGTACAGCACTGGCCTGATGTCTCGCACTTGTTCAGTTTTGCATAGTCTCCCTTTAAACCTTATGTAATGAATATTTGGTACCTGATTGTTATCGTGGGTGGCTTCCATACCATACATGTTCACGGTAACCGTGTTTATATGCTATTAAATTAGCTAGATGTTTAACACTGTCATTTACAGGTTCTCTTGTTTCGACTTTTTGTCCACGCTGATCTGATAGTCAGGTATAGTACGCATATTTTCAAGATCAGATATGCACTTTTCGGGATTGTCTAGTTGTCAATTCCCTGAAAACAAAAAAAAAATAATGTCAATTTTTGGATGGCTGAGATCGCCCCAAAATTTGTGCGCTACAGTACCACACATTCTCTCTCTACTTCTTCCATCGCTCACTCGTGTTGCCTGTAACAACTATCAACTCCCCTAGTAGTGCGGAGGCTATTTGGCACGCGAATGCCATAAACGAAAGGCGCTCCCCCACGCGGTTTTTTTTCGCTATTTTTTTTGCGTTTTTTCCCATCTTGTCGCTTTTTCCTTTTTCTTTCCTCCCCTCTCGAGCGTTTTCCTTTTTTTATGTTATTTTCCCAATTTTTTTAATTGTTAGTACATGTGTTTTTGAAATATTTAAGTCGAAAGTTTTCAAATCTTAACTTGAAAATTTTTCAATCTGAAAGAAAGTTTCAAATCTAGAGTTTAAAGTTTTCAAATCTTGACTTAAAAGTTTTCAAATTTGAGTTGAAAGTTTCTAAATCTTAGATCTTCGTTGAAAGTTTTCAAATTTTAAGTTAAAAGTTTTCAAATTTTGAATTGGAAGTTTTCAAATCTAGGTTGAAAGTTTTCAAACTTAAAAGTTTTCAAATATGGGTTGAAAATTTTAAATTAGAGTTGAAAGTTTTTCAAATTTAAGATGAAAAGTTGAAAGTTTTCAAAATTTGACTTCACGTATAGATTTCTTTATCAATATATTAGTAAAAAACTTCAAGAAAAATAAAAATATTGCTAGATTACCGTAATTAGCACAAATTACTGTCATTACCGCTAATTATGGCAACAGGGCGTTGAGGGGGCGTGGGTGTGCGCTGCTTCGTAGCCAGCGCGCGTGCGAAATAGGAATTTTGCGCTGCTACCTTCTCCGCCCCCTATAGCGTGTGTCGCCCATGTGCCTAAAGCTTTGAATAGCACCGATTGGGTCCACCAACCTGCCTTCTTCCCCTTGGGGGTCTTTAGATCCAGGGGTGTAAAGTTTTGGCGTGTCACATCGGATATTATATAAAGTGACGTATGGGTGTTTGGGCACTAATAAAAAAACTAATTACAGAATCCGTCAGTAAACAACGAGATAAATTTATTAAGCGTAATTAATTTGTCATTAGCAAATGTTTACTGTAGCACCACATTGTCAAATCATGGAGCAATTAGGCTTAAAAGATTTGTCTCGCAAATTAGTCGCAATCTGTGCAATTAATTGTTTTTTTAGCCTATATTTAATACCTCATACAGATGTTCAAACGTTCGATGTGACATGGTGAAAAAATTTTATGTGGGACCTAAACAGGGCCTTTATCTTCCTTTCTTCTCCAAGTCCAGTGGCCTAGATGCTTCACCTTCCAAACTCGGGGAACTCACCCTCTTACTATACTCATTTCCTTTAGCCCTAGGGAAATAGCAGTGCACCATGCCTCTAGCCCATGTTTCCAACTTCCACCTAAGAAATGGAGATGAAGACACATATAGAGCAACAGGTCATCCAGTGCAGCGTTTCTTCATATGGGCCCCACTATATTACGGAGAAGCAGCAGGCGCACATGAAAGGGGAGGCGTAGTTTCTTTTTGGGGCATTTGCTTATTTGACCCTGTTTTGAACTGTAATTGCCGTTTTGACCCTACTTTTTGAACTTTGCTTATTTGACCCTCCTTTTTGAGTACGAAGCTCCGGTCTGACCCTATTCCGTTTGGATGAGGTGACGGTGTTAATTTTGTGGTAAATAGTCCATTTTGCCCTTGCTTATTTGACCCTGTTTTATCTTGTTTGCTTGCTTGTTTGACCTTATTTTGTTATACCGTGTATATATTCAAGAATATTGAAATATTTGTAATAATTTTTGCTCAAGTAACAGATTTGGCATTAATTTGACAAATTTGAATCATTTTGTCAAATTTGACTTAAATTTGACAGAATTTTGTGAAAATAAATTAAATGAAATGTGTCACAATTATGACAGATTTGCCATAAATTTGAGAAATTTGATTTATTTTGACAGATTTGACTAAAAAGTTGTCAGAATTTTGATAAAATGAATTAAACAAAATTTTGACAGCATAACTTCTCATTTTGTGGATTCCAAAGTGCATTCAATATAGCATAAACATATAGCCAAATCCAACAAGTTCATATCCAAGCAAGTGATAACATACATCAGTTCAACATGCACATTACTAGGTCCAACATAAGACCCACAAAAGTGCACCATTAGGTCCAAAACAACATCACACAGAGGCACAAAGCCATGTCCAACATCACACAAAATGCAGTAAATAGTAGGAACATATTACATGATCCAATCAACAGCCTAACAAAGCAGCTAGCCTACCTCTAGCTCTTCCCCTACCTCTGCCGCCTCCAGTAGCACCATCACCACCACCACCTCGAGCTCTTCCCCTACCCCTGCCACCTCCACCTCCACCTCCACCCCCACCTCCACCATCACCATCAGCACCAGCACCACCTCCACCACCACCACCACCACCACCACCACTTGAACTTGCCCTCCCTCTAGCTCTTCCCCTTCCCCTTCCCCTTCCCCTGCCACTTGCACGTCCACCTCGTGCGTTCATGGTACCTTCCCCATCCCCTTCCCCTTCACATCCACCTGCGCTTGCACTGCATATAGGAGCATAAAAAAGTTAGTTTGAGCAAAAGTTATAGATGAACTAAAGTGAGGAAAAATTCACTTACTTAGATGCATGTGCATCACTGCTACTCTCTTGAGTGGCTTTTTTCCTCTTTTGACTAGCTGTAAGGCCTCCTTGGCAATACTTAGCTGTATGGCCCAATTCATGACACTCTGAGCATTTTCTTTTTTTCCTTTGGCCAACCTCATCAGAAGCCTTCATCCTAGAGACCCTTGGTCTTCCTGGTTTCCTCCTCAATTTAGGCTTCTTGATTTTGTAGCCTACATCAACCAATGGCCACAGATGCTTGGATGTCATAGGGTTGAATAACCCTGCATATGCTTTCCTGAACCTCTCAACGGAGAAGCATTCATCCACAAAATCACCCATATGTACTTGTCTGCTAAGCTTTGCAATGAAAGCTAAAGCATGGCTACATGGCTTTCCACTTATTTGCCAAGCCCTACAACTACAAGTTCTCTCATTCAAGTTTACTGCATGTGTAATGGTGGATACAGTTACCTCAGCGGTGCCATCTCCACATCTAATAACTTCATGGTCCCTGATAGCATTGCTCTGAGCATTAAGATCTTTGGTAATGGCTGGGATTATCTTGCCCTCCATATTTCTAGCAATCTTGGCTCTCAAGTCAAACTTTGCAACAATCATATGTCTTATTTTCTCACGCATATCCACAATCTGCAAGTCCTTAGTTTTTGACACCCAACTGTTGAATGATTCAGAAAGATTATTATTGATGTAGTCTACCTTACACAGATCAGAAAATTTGCTCCTACTCCAAACATATGGATGATTCTCATCCAACCATTGTATTGCATCAGGACACTTCTCCTTTATCTTGTCCATATGGTATTCATACCTCTGAAGTGTGCAGCTCTTGGCAGCTCCCCACATGTTCTGAGAAAACAATGTGCCATGATACTTCTTCTTCATGTTCTTCCACAAGTGCCTCATGCACTCTCGGTGTTCCACTCCTGGATAGACATCATCTACAGCTCCCTCTATCCCTTTGCCTGTTACAACAAAATGACAAGGCATGAGATACAAGTGTACATCACAGTCATGAACAAGAGAATGCAAAACAAAAATCACTTGTTAATATACCTGCATCGGTGCTGATGACCAATCCTATAGGAGTACCTATGGCTTGCTTCAAGTTCTGAATAAACCATGTCCAACTCTCCTTAGACTCGGTTTCAATCACCCCATAGGCCACTGGAAATAGCCAATTGTGGCCATCGATTGCAACAGCAGCTGCCAACTGACCTCTTGACCTTCCTGTCAAGTGAGTTGAATCCATTGCAATATAAGGACGACATCCTTGCAGGAAACCATCAATGCATGGTTTAAGAGCTACAAAGAATCTCCTGAAACAAACATCCCCATTATGCTCTTCAGTGTCCAACTCAACAACACTACCAGGGATTGCCTTCAGAAGTGCCTCTTTGTAAGTAGGCAATAGATCATAGCTCTCATCCCACTTCCCATATATCATGTCCATAGCCTTCTCCTTGGCCCTAAAAACCCTGAAATATGGGACATCCATCTTATACTTCTTATTGATCTTCTCTTGCAACTCTTTTGGTCCCAATGTGGGTTTCTCCTTTAACCAGTCCACCACCCTATCAGCTATCCATCCCTTAGAAGCCATTGTATCACCACACTTATTGACTGAAAAACAAGTGTGGTCTGGCCCATTAAGCTTAACCTGCAGCAAACAATCAATGGACTTGTTAAAATTCACATAAAGGCACACATGTTAAAATTCATGATTGAAAGTATGGAAAAAAAAATCAGCTCACTACATACCTTGCAACCATCATATTTGGACTTGCTGGTGGATGCAAAAAACGTCCACTTGCAACCCTCCTCTGCTCGCCTACACTTTGCCCTAAACCTATCCTTGCTTTTTTTAACAGTTTGGAAAGCATAATCATTCAAGATTGCATGGTGGGTTACTGCTGATTTGCACTCATCAACATTGTGAAACAGCACATCTACATCAATGCATGGATCATCAACATCATATGAAAAATCATGAATATCATCACAATCATCATCATCATCAATAATTTCATCATCAGGTTCATAGCTGTTATCGGAGTCAGAGCATTCAGAATCATAGCAATCAGAATCAGATGATGCGGCCAAGTCAGTGTCATAGCTACTATCACTAAGTGCCACCAATGATTCAGTTTCGGAATAAGAGCCCTCCTCATCAACTCCGACTGTCTCATCACTGGCCCTTTTCCTTGTGGCTCTTTTGGTATGCTTAGATTTTGAAATAGGTGGCTCTACCACTTTAGCTGTGGGTGGGGTTAGATCAGCAGGAGGACACTCAGAAATATGTGGAGCACTTTCAATTTACAGCTGCACACTATTTCTGAAATTTGGATGGACCCTTCTTTTTGTGGGAGAGCATAGCAATGGGCCTTTAAATTCATCAACATCGGCTTCAATATTGGCTACTTCATGAGCTATGTTCAGCGATAACCACTCATGCAATTGCTCATCACTACTAATCTCAACCCATGCATCATCACAAACACGCCAGAAAGTAATGTATTGTTTAGAACCCCACACAATTTTAGAGCCGATGAAATCAACTAACTGCAGCAATTTGAAGTTAGCTATGTCCACATCTGTTGTAAAATGCCTACTTGTGAAATAGGTCTTTGGCCCCTCATCTGGCAAACTGAAATGCGACCTTACTCTAACATCAAGAATCAAATTACATGGAACAGGCCTACAAATAGGAGCAACACAAGATAAAGAACAACTTTCAGTAAAATTTTTAGGTGCTTGTAGGAATGGAGACAGCATACAACATATAAACCCTAGATTAGATTAGCAATGGAGACACCAAGTTCAATTAGCACTGGACACAACATCTATACCCTAAATTTGCATGGTATTGCATCTGTTCCTATAACCTAGCAGGGTCACAACCACAAGCATGCACAGGGTCACAGGATCACAACCACAGGGTCACTTGAAGAGAATAGAGGGAAAATACCTTTCTATGGTAGGAATCCCTTGCATGGTTGAGGGAGCGTCGATGTCGGCTACCTCCGAGCTGGTAGGAATCCCTTCCATGGTTGCGGGAGCGTCGATGTCGGCTACCTCCGAGCGCTGGCCCTCCCACCGTCACCGCGTGTAGCACCCGCCGCCGCCCCGCACCCACAGCTCGCTGTCGCCACCCCCACAGCAAGTCGTCGCCGCACCACCACAGCTTGCTGTTGCCGCGCCCCATAGCTTGCCGTCGTCACCCCCACAGCTCGCTGCCGCCGCACCCACAGCTCGCCGCCGCCGCCCCCTCAGATCGGCGCCGCCCAGCGCCCCATCAAACCGCAGCCGCCGCCGCCCTCCACCTTCACGAGCGGGCGCCGGCGGGGCTGTACATCATGCCGCCGCCGCCTCCTCAGCTCGCCGCCGCCTCCCCACACAGATCGGCGCCGCCGCCCCCCTCAGATCGGCGCCGACTAAGACCGGACGCGCCGCCGCCGCCGCCTCAGCTCGCCGCCGCCTCCCCACACAGATCGGCGCCGCCGCCCCCCTCAGATCGGCGCCGACTAGGACCGGACGCGCCGCCGCCGCCTCCTCAGCTCGCCGCCGCCTCCCCACACAGATCGGCGCCGCCGCCCCCCTCAGATCGGCGCCGACTAGGACCGGACGCGCCGCCGCCGCCGCACGCGTACTCGCCGCCGCCGCCGCACGCGTACTCGCCGCCGCCGCCGCACGCACGAGGGAGAGAGAGGTGAGACCGTGAGGAATGCACGAGTGAGAGAGAGAGAGAGAGTCAGAATAGGGTTTGGGCTTTGGGGGTATTTTCGTCATTAGGAACTCTGAAAAGATTTTCTTTTTTTTTATAAATTGAACCCTAACGGAGTCAGCGAAAGAGGGTCAGACGGAAGCTTCGTACTCGAAAAGGAGGGTCAAATAAGCAAAGTTCAAAAAGTAGGGCCAAATCGGCAATTACAGTTCAAAACGGGGGTCAAATAAGCAATTGCCCCTTTCTTTTTTTGGCGTGAGGGAACCGAACCCTCGCTAGGACACGAAAACCTTGCAAAGACACGGGACCCACCTTCTTTTCTTCTCCACGTCAACATTGAGCCTAGCTGGACCAACGAGGTAACTCGCCACATCAGTGCACTGTGAAGGGCCTGAGTCACTACCACTCTCGCCCCTACTCTAGACACTAACTCATTATAGTACATGGGAGTTCATCGGAGCTGGAAACAAATGTCGTGAATGGTGGACCTGATCCAAAAGTCAAACATTTTGTAAGATTTCGCATCAAACTTTTTACTATCGAATGATATTTTGATTGGCCTGTTTGGCACAGCTCCAGCTCCAGCTCCACCCCTCCTGGAGCTGGAGCTCAGCCAAACAGTTTCAGCTCCACCAAAACTGGGAGTAGAGTTGGGTGGAGCTCTCTCACAAAATGTACTAGAGTTGTGGAGCTGGGTTTAGGCAGCTCCACAACTCCACTCCAGCCTCAACTCCTGGAGTTATATTTAGGAGTTGGAGCTATACCAAACAGGCCCAAAGCAACATTTATGAGACTATAGGTTATAAAACAAAATATCAGAATATTCTTTTTTTCGCAGGTAAGCTTCACCGGAGCTCGTTGGACCGGGAGACGGAGGTCGCGGACTTAGATTAACCGGTATATATATGTACAGGACTACGTGCTCTAAATTAAAAATAGCAGCACACGCCGATTTTTTTTTTAATTTCTTCATTCGCAAGTAAGCTGATCGGTGACGTCGTCCCGCTTCCTCCGACCCCGACATGGCGATGGCGGCGGCGACGGGCGGCGTCGATGTGCTCGGCGACGACCTCCTCCGCGAGATCCTCCTCCGCCTCCCTTCCCCCGCCGCGCTCGCGGGCAGGTCCTTCCTCCGTGCGGCCCGCGACGCCGGCTTCCTCCGCCGCTTCCGCGCTCGCCACCACCCGTCGCCCCCGCGCCTCCTCGGCTTCCTCTTCGTCGTCCCGGGCACCACGCCGCCGGTCCTCCTCTCCGTCGCCTCCGCCTCCGGCAATCCCCCGGCGGGGGACTTCTCCCTCTCGTTCCTCCCCGGCGGCGGCTGGGGCTCCGCCGAGTGGGAGCTCCTGGACTGCCGCGACGGCCTCCTCCTCCTGCTCCACAACCACGGCGCCGACATGAAGCTCGCCGTCGCCGACCCGTCGAGACGCGCCTGCTACCCCTTCGACTTGCCCACCGCCGACATCCCCGTCTTGTACGGCCTCGCCGCCGCCAAATCGGCGTCGTTCCGGGTGGTCTGCATCGCGCGGAGCCTCGACTCCACCACGCTGCGCGCGCTGGTGCTCTCCTCCGACGAGCCCTACCACTGGGAGGAGGTCAACGCCATCCCGTGCGAGGAGGAGGCCAGCATCGTCTACGCCGCGCGGCCGATGAAGGCGAAGACGTCGCTGTACTGGAAGCTCGACGACGGGACGCGCATGGCGGCGTTCGACGCGGCGCCGGGGAAGATGAAGCTCTCGATCCTCGACCTCCCGCCATTCCCCGCGACGCTCGCCTTCGACGTCATCGACACGGAGGACGACGACGACGGGCTCCGCGTGCTCGCCATGAGCGACGACTTCTGCCTCGAGACCTGGAAGCTCTCCTCCGCCGCCACCGCTGCCGCCATCGACGACGACGAGGAGGAGGAGACTCCATGGACGCTCGAGGACACCTCGGTGAGGTTCTACAGGGCGCTGGAAAGCATGCTCGGCGAGCGAAAGCTGAGCGACCGCCACCGCCGCCGCCGCCGCCGCGGCTACGAGTTCGAGATCGTCGGAGTGGTCGACGGCTTCTTCTTCTTCCGCCAATCCGGCGTCCTGCTCTCCATTGATCTCAAGACCATGGAGCTCACAAGGCTATCGGAGCAGGATTGCTCGCCGGCGACGATCTACCCGTACACCATGGCGTGGCCGCCGTCGTTCCTGAATCCTACCGACTAGGTGCCCGATGATCAAATCGTTCCAAATGAATACTGAATCCTGATTTGTCATTTCAAACATTCGAATGAAATTTGTGGCGGTTTTTGCTTTCAACATTTGGAATTAGTTTTTCCCCTTCTGTTGTAATTCTCCTGCTATTTTTCGTGACTCTCTCTTGCCATTTTTCTGGCATTGAATTCAAGCAGTAGTAAAAATGGAGAGGATCTTCGTTCGATTAACAGATTACACTTGCTTTGGGTAGTTCGGTCTGGAAATCTGGCCGTTCGCCCATGGAATTTAGAACATGTTGCTCTCGATGTCGATCGTATCGTCTCGTAGAACATTGATGATTCAGATTCAGAATAGTGCAAAATGACAGTTCAGGTTGTTGAAGACGGAGCAAGAACAGCATGATTTTCAAGAAAAATCTTATTGTTGATGGTTTCTTGCGCAAGAAGATCATGGTGCAGATGAGTCATTTCTTTTCCGGCCAGCACCGTCGTGATCTGCACCTCTGCTATCTCCGGTGATCGCCGCCGGCCGCCACCGCGCCGACGTCATGAACAACACTTTGATCTCCTCGTCAATAATTTGCGACCAAGTTTTCAGCCTAATTCAGTATTTCGATCCATGTATAATTTGGTCCGAATTCAGTTCGCTACCAATATCGCCTATCGTGGGCCGAATCTGGATCGCCTGACTCATTTTGGGCCGATCTACGCCGTCCATCCTAGAATCAGTGGCCCAGATTCTGTTCCAATATACACCGTCTTTCATAGTACAATTTGTTTTGACTTTTTTAAGTCAAACTTTTTAAAATTCGATTATCTTTATAGAGAAATATAGTAATATTTTTAACACTAAACAAAATAACTAATATCAAAATATATTCAATGTTATAAGTGTTACTCCCTCCGTCTCAGTATATAGCAACGTATATAGCAACCTACGATGGAACTGGGACGGAGGGAGTATAAGTGTTGCAATATTTTTTAAAAAAATCGATTAAACTTCGCTCCATTTAAAAAAGTTAAAACGGTTATAATATGATACGGAAGTGGAGTACTAGTAGGAGACTTGGACTTGGTCGTCCTCCCCCATTCCGATCCAGGTGTGCCGTGCCCGTGCGGTACGCGTGCCATTCTCCGGCCGCGCCACATGGCTCCGACCGCCGCCGCCGCCGCCGCCGTCGTCGCCGCGCTGTCCGACGACCTCCTCCGGGAGGTCTTCCTCCTGCTCCCCACCGCCGCCGACCTCGTCCGCGCCTCCCTCGCCTGCAAGCCCTTCCTCCGCGCCGCCCGCAACGCCGGCTTCCTCCGCCGCTTCCGCCGCCGCCACGGCCCGCTCCTCCTCGGCTGCCTCCTCCACCACGCCGACCTGCCCGCCCCGGTGTTCGTCCCCTCCTCCCCCGCCGCCGCCGCCGCCGCTGCTAGGGCTGATGGCGACTTCTCCCTCTCCTTCCTCCCCCACGGCGGTTGGTTGGGCGGCGGCGGCGGCGCGCCGTGGCGGTTCTTGGACTGCCGGAACGGCCGCGTCCTACTCAAGAATCGGGGGACGCAGGAGCTCGCCGTCGCCGACCCGTTGGCCTGGAGCTGCGTCTCCCTCCCGCCGCCCCCCGCCGCGCGCGCCGTCGGGTACGGCCTCGTCGCCGACGACGGCGACTCATCGGTGTTCCGGGTGTTCTGCATTGCGCAACTCGGCGACGGCGACGGCGGCGTCTCCTCCGAGACGCGCGCCATGGTCCTCTCACCCGGTGAGCTTTCCTGGGCCGACGTCGCCGTTCACCCCCACCGCCTCAACCTCGCCGCCGCCTCCCGGGCGATGCAGGCGAACGGGTCGCTGTACTGGACGCTCGAGGGCGGCGCGAGCGTGGTGGCGCTCAACACGGCGACGAACGAGTTCTCCGTCCTCGAGCTCCCGCCTCCACTGAGGCAGCTCAGCTTCGACGTCGTCGAGAAGGGGGAGGAGGAGGACGGCGGCGGCGGCGGCGGGCCGCTCTACCTGCTCACCATGCGCGGCTTCTGCGTCGAGGTGTGGGCCGGCGCGGGGGACGGCGGCGCCGGCGAGCTGACGTGGACGCGGGTGGAGAAGTCGGTGAGGTTCCACAAGGCGATGGCGATGCTGCAGCATGATTCGGTGGAGATGTACCACCATGGATTGGATGTCGTCGGCGTCGTTGCCGGCGTCCTGTTCTTGCGTCACTGGAATTGCCTGCTCTCCATTGATCTGGAAACCATGAAGCTGAGGAAGTTGTCCGATGAAGATTGCTCGTCGGCGTCGATTTACCCGTATGCGATGCCTTGGCCGCCATCGTTCTTGAATCCTGCTGAACATGGTGCTTGATGAAATGGTAACCAGCCGATTCCTATATTTCCTTTGATTGATGATGTGCTTGAAACATAATTATGTCTACCAAAGAGTTTTAGGAGAAAATGTATCAGTGATATACTTCAACAAATATAATTATGCCTACCATGACTTTTAGGAGAAAATGTTGTCTGTATACTATTCAAGACTGGCATTGAGATTTTCTGATTACCAAAAGGAATGTTTTAAATTGTATTGAGTTTGGTGCAGGAATGTGGGTGGTGACACTATGCTGAACCTCCAACTAATGGTGATCAATTATGTAATTATGTTGGTGCTACCAAAGGTTATGATGGAAAAGTATGAAATTCAGTTATCCATATGAAGAATCGGAGGGATGATAGGAACAATATGTTGCTAGTTTTTTTTTCCTTACATGTTTGAACCTCCTATGTTCTACAGTATTTGATGTCTAAGTTAGTAAAACCTTATGCAAAACTATAGGTTGGTACTGTTCAGAAGGAGATTCATACTGCTCTGATAATTATACTTGTGGCAAAATATATGGATTGTTTCATGAGGCTCTTCACTCTGGATACTTGTACATTGAAACGTTGTTGTCACACAATTACATATGGCTCCTCCTGGTCTCTGTCACTCAGTGATGTTGGTGCAGAAATGATCTTCCAGTTGGCGTACGTGTCACGCCATCCTCACCCTGCGACCTTCGCCGGCGTGAACTGGCCGCCGGGAAGCTGTTCTTGCTACCCTCCGGTTGCCGGCTCGCTGCCGTCGTCCTGTAGCCCGACGATGCTGACGACGTCCATGGTGCGGCGGCGGCGCGCGACACCGGAGGAAGATGACAGTTGAGTCGTTCACATCTCAGACGGCGAATCTCTATGGCTTTGACTTTGAGGGTGCATACTTCTTTCGGTACTCTATAACACAATGAAAATGAAGCAACGTTGAATTTACTATTATAAAATATTCATGTAGAATATGGATATGTTCTACCAGAAAGTTGAAAACTAATCCTGACAAACTTGTACTAGACTAGGCTGTGTTTAGTGTGTGTTTAGTTGGATCCAAAGTTTGGATTTTGGTTTAAATTGGAGATGATGTGATTGAAAAGTTATGTGTGTATGACAGGTTGATGTGATGGAAAAGGACTGAAGTTTGGATCCAAATTTTGGATCTAAACACAGCCTTAGTTCAGCGCAAAGTTTGGATTTTAGTTGAAATTAGAGATGATGTGACTGAAAAGTTATGTGTGTATGACAGGTTGATGTGATGGAAAAGGACTGAAGTTTGGATCCAAACTTTGTATCTAAACACAACCTATATTGTATGTATCAGAATCAGATGTGTATACCAAGACTTCATATTATTGTAGAGCTGAACGAAAGATACAGACCTGAAATCTCACAAAGCGGTGTTCTCCATCAGGTCTTGATCACTGGACAGATGATGCAGCACATCATCAACGAACAGCAGCAGCTGAATTAGGATGAGATGTTGATCTGACAACGAAAGAGTGAACCTCCTTCTCGAGTTCGATCCAGCTCTTGCCAGTGTCCTTCCTCAAGCCCATTTCGCTCATCCTCTTCATCACCTTGGCTCGATCATCCCATCTTCCCTCGGATGAGTAGATGTTTGACAGCAACACATAAGCAGCCGTACAACTAGGGTCCAGGAGGAGCAACTTCTCTGCTGCATACTTCCCAACTTCGGAGTTGCCATGGAAGCTACAAGCTCCCATTAAAGCCTGCCAAAGAAGAGCATTGTCCGTGAAAGGTCCATCTTCTATAAACGATTTTGCGTCGTCTAACAAGCCGGCTCGGCCAAGCATATCAACCACACATGCGTAATGCTCCATCCTTGGAAGAACTCCATACTGTGATGACATAGAATTCAAGATCTCCAGTCCCTTCTTAGCTGACCCAACATGACTACAAGCATGAAGCAGCGACAAGAATGTGACATCGGTGGGCTTGGCACCGTCAGCTTTCATGGATTCGAACAGCTGATAGACCTCTGAACCATGTCCATGTCTGGCGAAGGCTGCAATGATGGAGTTCCATGAAACTGAGTTCTTACTGGGCATTTCATCAAACACCCGGACAGACTCTCTCAATTCACCGCATTTTGAATACATATTGACCAAACCATTGCAGACATAGGTATTCACTCCAAAACACCTCTTGATGACCAATGCATGGATTTGCTTCCCAAGAGCAAATGGCGCAGAAGCACCGAATGCCCCCAGAACTGCAGAAACAGTGTTTTCATCAATCTCATTTCCTGCACCCACCATCTCGGCGAACAATTCGAATGCTTTCTCTTCCAGTCCATTCTGAGCAAATCCAACCAGGATCACTGTCAGAAAAACTTCATCGGGTTCTCGACAAGAGCGAAAGACGGTCAGAGCATCCTCCATCAAACCGCATTTGGAATAGACATCCATGAGGCCGCTTTCGACATGGAGATCATCCTCGAATCCAGCCTTCACAACAAGCCCATGAACCTGCTGACCTTCCCTTGCTGCTAAAGATCTGGCGCAAGCTAGCAGGGCGCACGAGTACGTCGCGTTGTTGGCATCCACCGTGCGGATCATCTGCCCAAAAAGACTGAAGCTCTCCTTGTACAGCTCTGCCCTGGCCATCCCAGAGATCATCGCTGTCCACGTGATGACGTTCTTCTCTGCCATTCCATGGAACACCCTCTCTGCCGAGGCTGGAGACCCGCACTCGAAGTAGGCCGTCACCAGCGCGTTCCCGACAGGCACCTCCGCCTCGAAGCCGCACGAAACCACCAGCCCGTGCACCATGGCGCACGCTGGGAGCGACGCCGCGCCCGCGCGCGCGCACTCCGACAGGACCGTCGTGAAAGTGGCGCGGTCGCAGGCGCGCGCGTCCGACCGCAGCATCCGCCTGAACAGCGCGAGCGCGTCGCCGGCGCCGCGGGAGGCGGCGATGAGCGAGTTCCAGGAGACGGCGTCGCGGACGCGCATTTCGTCGAACACCCTGGCGGCGTCCTCGCGGCGGCCGCACCTGGCGTACATGGAGACGAGCGAGTTCCAGGCGACGAGGACGTGGCGGAGCCAGGGCCGGCTCGCGCAGAGGCGGAAGTGGGCGGGGTTCTTGACGACGGCGGCGTGGAGGGCGGCGCCGAGGCGGAGGTCTCCCTCGCGACCGCAGCTGGCGAGGAGGCCGCTGAAGCGGGCGTAGTTGAGGAGCCCGGAGGACGCATCTCTCATGCCCTACAGAAGAGACTCGGGCTCAGGCAAGTCGGGAGTACTGTTCCGGTGGGAGTGGAATGGAGACGACGCCGCCGGAAGGGGAAAGGCGGCGGCGGCGGCGGCGGCGATGGCCGATGATGAGTTACGGCGCGAAAGGGATGGGAAAATTGGTGCAGATTACTCATGAGGATACTTATTAAGCGTCAGATCAGAAAGCAACGGTCATGAACTCTGATGCATAAAAAATTTAATATTTGAGTATTTATACGTTCTAAAATATAAGTATTTTTATATTTTATCTTTTTTTTACATGAGATCAAAGTTAACAAAGAAAATACTTTGGTACCCACGTTAAATAATGGATTGTTAGGATGAGAGAGTGATTGAAGGTAAAATGGGGGAGCGCAGCAAGTGAATTATATGATTAGTATTGTAAATCATGCTAAAAATGCTTATATTAAAAATGCATATTGTGAAACAAAGTTCGAATAGTAGATATGCTTGTATTTAGAACTAAGGGAGTACTGGGAAACTTGAAATTTTTTATGTGAATATCGAATACTAGCACTCATAAAATGTTCTCTAAAAATGATGGGAGTACAAACAAGAGGTAAAAATAAAGCAACAAAATTTCTGGACGATTTATTGCATGCCCAAAAAATTACAGGATTACACCCTGCCAAATTCTACAGCCCTCCCCCAATCTCCCACAGTCCCATAGTCCCATCCCCTAAAAAAATTGATGATGAATCAAGCATTTGTGTGGTTTTCTAAGGTACAACATAACTCTGAACTTCCTACACTAACAAACATGACTCCGGCTTCGCCTCTATGGAGTGGATTTCAACATGGTGGGGAAATGCTCTTTCCTGCCATCCAGATGCATGAAATTCACCGGCATTGTCACTGTTTGAACTGAAATTCAAATTCCATCCTTGGCTGTTCATGCCCAGAGGAGACAGTCAACTCCCATTTCATAGTTTGTGACAGGGCTGTCACCAAAATCATCGTTTGGTTTTTGGATTTCTTGCTCTGTGTCGACATATGGCTCTGATAGATCAGATGACCTTACAGAGGGAATTGCATGTTCCTTTAGGATATCTGATGATGCGGTAGTCGCTTCTTCCCGATCCAAAACAACTAGGAAGTCGTCTTCGAATTCGAACGTCAAGAACTTGTCTTTGCAGTCTGAAAACTCATACATTTAGCCATGGAAAGTTGAGCATGAATTGTAAGATATTACTACTAAAAGGTTATTCAGCATGAGGCTGTACTTACTGTCAACAAGGTGGGCAAGATGGTGAATATTCTTTACCACGGTTCCATTTAGCTTAATGACCTGATAATATTGTTGGTTAATAGAACGCATAGGATTTAATTCAAACTCGTAAAAAGTATAAGCAAAGGTGGAAGAGCTTTACTTGTTGATTGCCCATGTGTTCATAGCCAATGTTAACCTCGTGTGCCAAAACCTAGATACCATTGGTGAATTGAAGATGACTTGATAATAACAATGAAGCATGGAGGACTAGTCAATGGTACAACCATCGAATGCAGCATACCTGTGATACAATAACGATTTGCTCCCCTTCAAATGTTGATAGAGAATAGCGTGCCTTTGCCAGCAATTTCAACTGTAAATGAAGATAATATGTTAATAATGATGAGAAAATTCAGAGCTTTGGAAAGGTAACCTGCAAGCATGTTGATCTAACCCCTAGAGTTTCTTCGCACTCCTCCCTGCAAACCAACAGAAATTGACAACTATAAGCTTCCCAATACCAAGGCAGAGGGTTTAAAAGGGAAAGCCATCAGTTGCTTACTCTATAAATGGTTCTGTCAAAGGTGTGAAGACAAGGCCAGCAACTATCAGATAGGAAGGCTGCCCTCCTTCAACATGGAACGGCACCTTGTTTGAGGATGAAGATTATTGTAAATTGTGCAAATTGGTGAAATTTTAAATCACTAGGATAAAGGGTTTATAGTATCTTACTAAATGTTTTCTTGGCTGCAAAACGGTCTGTACTTTCATGGTGTTGCCTGCCCGAATGATACCTAGTTGGGCAACATCACCTGCATACCTGATTGACAAAAAAATAATAATTATTCACTATGGCCAGGAATGTAATAGCTTCTTTTGATTTCAAGTAAAGATGTCTTATGGGCGGATGACCATAACACATCTTTTAGAAATGCCACCAGGAGGATGACCAGGTGGCACAGCTTATTAGAAAGCATACAGATCAAGAGGACAAAAGAAGGATGCTTTAGATGAATCAAGTTTGTAACCGTGTCATGCATATCCAGAGAAAGCTTCACTTGTAATTAACAAAGCACTGTTGGATACATTCATATGTATATTTGTAAATTAAATTTCTAAAAAACTTAAGTTTCTGGAAATGAATTAACAAATTTGGGGAAAGACACTTGAAGGATAAAATTTCCAAGGACTTACTTTTGGCTTGTGAGGTAGCGGAAAGCAATTCGCTCTGTGGAGCGGAATGGTACAGTTCCCTCACATCCAACCGCGACGCCATCAAAACTTGTTATCACATCTCCCTGGGGAGACAATGATCAGATGAAACAAATTACAGTTTTTTAGTAACCATTAATAATTTAGAAAGATTCATTTGCAGGGAGAAAACCAACAAGCATTCAACCTATGAACTGCATCAAAGTGGTGCAATTTACCTTCCGCAAAACTTTGCTTGCAGGAGCAGTAGGCTCAACCCGGCGGACAAGAACACCCTGCAAGAAAGGAAGACAAAAATGACAAGGACAGAGGTGAGAACAATTTCAGAATATATCAAATCTCTCATGAACTTTAATATTCAAATGCTGAAATTTGTCAAGTATAGATGAGCATACCTCACTTGAAGGTACTTTTAAGCTTTCACGCAACGCAGGGTTTTCCAATTTTTGAAGGAGAACACCCAGGCAAGGAAATCCTACAGAGTGTTTGAAATACTAAGCACAATAATTTCAACAGGCAGCAGTTATGCCACTTCATAAAACCAACATAAATTTTGAAAATGCAGTTATACTAAGCAGTGTGTGCTCAATATCCATACAATTAGAAAATGCAGTTTTGAATAAAACCTTTGAACAGACAAGGAATTCAAAAGGTTTTAAGGATACGGAGTCAAAATGAAAATGTCTACCTGACACTAGAAACCGATTTCTGTACACACTGTAATAGTTAATAGGTTAATATCTACCAAAAGGTGAAGTATCTCTAAGAGACTAAAACATGGCTTTCATTTTCTTATTTCTCAAAAAGTATAAGAGACTTAATTTTAAAAAGAAAAAAAATACCTGTATATTTTCCATTCTTCTGATAGTCGTTCAAGAAATGGGATACAACTGTAGTTGGAATTACATATCCAATATTTTCAGCTTCATCTGACCTGAACACCTAAACAAAATGCATAATGAGAAAAAAAAAAAGATAGAATGACAAGATAGAAATTACTAAAATATTTATTTAGTCAGTGCCTACAGTAAAATCAATTGTTAGATGGTTATTGTATACACATACATAATTAGACTAGGTTTTTATGTTCCCATTGGTTTGGACTTTGTTATTTGGATTAGGATATCCAACTAGGAAATACAGTGGATTGATATTAATAACATCCAAATAAGCATAAACAGTATATTGGCACATTTGTATTAGAACTCGCAAATAAACCCACCCACAGCTCCTCTCTTCTTCTTCTTTTCAATATTTCTCTCCTAATATGAATAGTAAGGTCATTATGACATTGTTGTCTTCTGAAATCTAGTTAGTTCCTAGTAAGTTCATGTAAGAGCTTTAAAAGCAACTGCATTGCAAAAGGAAGCTTAAGTGCAAGAGATCTATTAGTTCACTGGAGTCACACCAAATACATCAAAAGTTAAAATTACACTTCACCGGGACTTCAAGTGCATGTTACATGTGTGTTCATCAAAAGTTTCAAAAAGGCAACCTTTTAAGTTCAGTGCAAAATGCAAGCAGTTATGGCTTTATGGATTATCCGCTTATAAAATGTGTAATGCATATGTAAAAATGATCCAAGCTCACCACAGTTTCTGAATACAGAACCTGCTTGTTTTGAAACTGGAAATTATGGAACTTATTTGATATGTTCTGGTACGTCGTACATCATTTAAATCTGCCCAGAGCTACCCAACTACTAAAAATAAGTGAGTAGAAGTACCTGAAATGCCACACCGATGCATTCCCCATGGTCATTAAAGGCTGGTCCACCACTGTTTCCTGAAAGAGAAAAAGAACACAATATAATTCATCTTTTAGTTAAGGCCAAAGCAAAAGCAGATTATTTAACTTACACTGTTTCCTGATGATTTTTTAACAAATAAATAAATAGCAAGGAAATTCATTTTCCTAAGAGAAGGCATAAGTTCAAGGGAAACACTAACCAGGATTTATTGCTGCATCGATTTGAATGCCAAGAAGATCTGAAGTTCCATGTGCATATGGAGTGACCTGGGCTATTCCAAAGCAAAATAGTGTAAGTTTAATAATCTAATTAAATCATAACAGTTTACTAGCATATAAACATCTATAGAATCGATATGCATAAATTTCTGACTCAAAGACAATATTTCATGTACTATCATGTTTCCATTAACAAGCTCAGTGCAGGACAGGTGATTTTTTTTTCTTTCCCGAAGAACCTTCAGAAAGGCAGGGAGCTCGTGCGATTCACACTATAAAAGAATAGAGTTGATCCTATTTATAAGGAAACCGGACAGGAAAACCGGTAAAACCCCTAACACAACCATTGTAGACGAATTACACAAACCATGAGATGCAGAACCTAAAACCCAAACCATCGTCAGATAATCTTTTATCTGACAACTGTTAACTGCTTGAATACCAAACTAAACTAGTGCTAACTATGCCTTAACATAGCAGGGGTGGTTTTCTAGCAGAAACAACACGAATCTAATATTTGTTCAGCATCTATCACAGGAAGCAACAGTTTAATTTGTTTCCACATTTTAGAAAAATGGATTCTGACAAAGGCACCATGACTAGGGATGGTATTTTTCAGGAAGAGGATAATCATTGCAAGCATGAAATACCATCGTTTTTCTCCTACTTATGGGGAACAAGCCATCTAGAAAGCATGATTTATAGAAAACTGAATAAGTGAAGAAATAGAACCTCGATGCGTGAAACAACACCTTTTGTTACAGATATCGTGTCTCCACCAAGAGGATATCCCACAACAGTTACTGAATCCTGAGATAAACAAACAACCACATCAAATGAAAACCAAACAACAAAAAAAAATATATGCAATCAAACATCTATCAAGAATTTAAGCAAATATAGATACACAGTACAATGAATGACTGCTTTACATTTAGGCCATTGGCA